ATATCCCTGGGACAGAGGAACTTTCCAAAGAATATCAATGGGACAGAGGGACTTACTACAGTATATCCCTGGGACAGAGGGACATTCTACAGAATATCCCTGGGACAGACAAACTTTCTCCAGACTATCCCTGGGACAGAGGGACTTTCTATAGAATATCCCTGGGACAGACAGACTTTCTACAGAATATCCCTGGGACAGACAGACTTTCTACAGAATATCGCTGCGACAGAGGGACTTCCTATAGAATATCCCTGGGACAAATAGACTTTCTCCAAACTATTCTTTGGACAGATTGACTTTCTCCTGACTATCCCTCGGACAGACAGACTTTCTACAGAATATCCCTGGGACAGAGGGACATTCTGTAGAATACCACTGGGACAGAAGGACTTTCTGTAATACAACCAGCAATACAACCGTTAACCCATGTTCGTTTCAGAGAAAAAAAGGGATACCATCAGGGGAATTTGTAGTACATGGACATTCTCTTATCGCGTGTCTGTGAACTTATCATGATCCACCGTGTCAAAATCACCTTGTCAATAGTTTCGGGGATGCCAGATTACTAGACTCAACAGACCATCTGAGATCCTTTACAAATCGCACCATATTGTATCTTATTAGACATGTATCGCTGTTAGGAGGTTATGCGACATGTGGTTTACTTGGGGCAGCACACAAACACATGGGAACGTGTCAACTTGCATAATAGTGTTTTGCTTAGCCAGGGTCAATGAGGTTCTATGACACTTGACGGCAAAAGAACCAGCGTATGCGAAAATATAGCAATGGGGTGACTAAAACAGATATATATGTTAAGAACAAGTTCGGTAAGTCTACCACAGTAACATTACGTCAGCCGCACACCAATATATTAATATATCTTTTTATTCATGAAGAATATAGGCCTCCGGTCCATGTTCATAAAGCACATGTTCAATCACACACCGCACGATCCGCATATGGTATTTACGTCGTCAACGGCTAACCACGCAAAACTCTCGAACGATAACTGGCTTTTGAAGGTCACGGGCATGCGATAGCATTGGAATAGAGTGCTGACATTCAAATTGCGCTGACAGTAAAAGTTGCATTGTGTCTTGTATCGATTGCCGGGTTATTATCTCGCTGTTTCCGGCTCTTAGTCATAGATTATGACCAGCCAAATGTCAGAAGTACAGCCTTTATTCCGAGATATGTCTTTTGTATGCTTAAATTGCAAATGGGAACCATTCGAAAACAAATATCTGGTAGCACGTTGGTCTCAGTCATTAGAGGCGACCCAATTCTCTGTGTAGAGTCGCGTACCTTAGGCCTAGTCTGCCAGAACCTGTGGTCGGATGTTCTTATCCAAGATTCGGCCTGAAGATGATTCTAGGTTTGTCGTACCCATACCAATGGATTTCACCAAAAGACTGAGAAAATACACCACTGCGTACCTTCCCGTCACATCAAGCTGACACACGTGATATTACTGAAATACTGTCCAAAGCTAAACACTCACACATTGAATCACATTCATCTCACTTGTTGCTTATCGAAATATAATATTAGAAAGACGGAACGAAATCCTAATTTGTTTTAAGTGTGTATTTTCACCACTTGTTGCCTCGTTGCAACGGACTGAGCTTGACTGATTGTTTTTTGTCAAGCTCGGTCCATTGCAAAGAGGCACACAAGTGGCGAAAATACAGACCAAAAGAATAGGGTTTCATTCCGCCTTTCTGAAATCATTGGGTTTTTTACCCGTGAAGATCCGGATCCATGCTTGTCGTAAGAGGCGACTAACGGGATTGGGTCCTCAGGCTCGCTGACTTGGTTGATGCATGTCATCGTATCCCAATTGCGTGGATCGATGCACATGTCAGTCACTGGATTGTCTGGTCCAGACGCGATTATTTACAGACCGCCGTCATAAGCTGGCATAGTGCTGAGTGCTCGCGGTACATAGGTAAAAGAAACATTTTGAGTACCACTGCAAATAGTTGGTTTTCTCTTTTTTTCTGACTCATAGAACGATATCTGATATGAGTGAGTGAGTGAGCTGGGTTTAACGCCGAGTTTAACAGTTTTCCAGGCATATCACGGCGTGTCAGCATAATGTGGAAGGAAAGCCCGAAGTGATGCAGGTCTTAGACGTTTACCACTTCGGTGAAACCCACGAGCACAGGTATGGTGCTGAAAAACCTAGAAACATAATCGGGGCGAATCAGGATTCGAATCCACAATCATAGCTTTCTGGTGTGCCCAGTGGACGTAACTCTGCACAGCGAATCGCCTTAGACGACTGGGCCACCCCCGTCCCCTTATCTTATATGATACAATACATGATGGGCCATGGTGGATGGACTTGCACTACCTTCCATTGCAACGGATGCCCTTTGATGGTGATGGTATCTTGAATTTCTTCAGATGTGATGGATTTTGAGGATTGCTTTAATTCAGCAGCTTCTCGTGAAAGCAGATGTATTCTGGGACTCTGAATACTGTAATTATTATGGAACGTTTTGCTAAACGTTCCTTGAACTAAACACAATCTCCATATGCACTTTTACAGATACTTTTTACAAATTAGATCTGTACACTTACATGTTCACTCATGTCTACATATCTTGAATGTTGTTTTTGTAAAGATTCAGGTCAAAAGCAGGTGTGAGCAGGTTGGAATTTCAAGACATATACACGAATTGATTCATGGTAACGTGAAAAATATGGAAATTATTACGCATGCATTTTATAAAAGAACGTAAGTAAGATTTTTGTATTGTACATGTGCATGTTCATGTATTGTATATTTTACTCAGTTAATAAAACGAATTTAGTACTCTATTGTATGTGTAATTTATTTGTGTGTTTGTTTTTTTATGCCGCAATATTCCAGCTATATGATGGCTGTCTTGTAATAATCGAGTCTAGATCAGACAATTCAGTGTGTGACATCATGTGGATCGATTTGCTCGTTTGGGATACCATGACATGTATCAACCAAATCAGCGAGGCTGACCACCTGATCCCCGAGTCTCCTCTTACGAGAAGCATGGGTTGTTAAAAACCAACTGTAACCCGTGTTGTGTGGCAGTGTAATTTATTTGTAAACAATGTTCTAACGGTATTACATTGTTTCTGCTGAGATTCAGTACAAGTTCAAAGCATTGTGCTTTGACAATAATTAGTTGTCAAGGATGTTGCACAATCTATATGAGCAGTGGTGTGGAAGTTACTATACTAGTATTTAGATGCTCTTTGGCGTCAAGTGCAATTTATAATGTTCTAGAACAGCAAGACTAATCCAGCACTGTACAGAAGCTTCTAGGAGATTTTAAGACTATATAAGGGCACAAGTGCGTGCCTCTCTCATCTCACATTACAGCAAGACCAGCGCTTGTGTGAAGATCACACAATAGCCTAGGCCTATTTTGGAAGCTTCTCCACTGTTGCTGGGAAGTGAATTTTCTTATCATAGATTTTTTTGCTAACCATTGCTGTTGTATTTTATAATGTCATTGTAATTGCACTGCCATTGAATTTTGTACTGCCAATCTATGGTTGACTGCCATTGGAAAAGCATTGCAGTAATTTGCATTGATTTGTATACCTAGTTAATTTATAATACAATTGTTAATTGTAAACCATTGTTGTTTGTTGGTTTCAAACTGAATTCTTTTATGTACAAATTAATGGGTTAACTTATATTTTCAATTTGGAAATCGACACCTAACACCAGGATCTTCACGGGAGATGTGTTACTTAAAACAGTTGATCATTAGCTAAAGTAAAGATACTGTCCTAAGATACCAAGAAATAATGTTTCTTTTGTTTCATTTTGTTGTTAGGGGGCACGGGTGGCCCAGTGGTTTAAGGCGCCGCAATTCGCTGTGCAGTTGCGTCCCTCGGGCACGCCAGAAACCTATGATTGTGGGTTCGAATCCCGGTTCACCCCAATTATGTTTCTAGGTTTGTCAGCACCATACCTGTGCTCGTGGGTTTCACCGAAGTGGTAAACGTCTGAGACCTTCATCACTTTGGGCTTTCCTCCTACATTAAGCTGACACGCCGTGATGTAACTGGAATACTGTTAAAAGCGGCGTTAAACCCAACTCACTCACTCACTCATTTTGTTGTTAAACACCACTCGGCGGCCTGTCAATAGTCGAGTGACAAAACAAACTAGTAAGTGATATTACTAGCAACAAGTCACGCCGTAGAGGGGCCTCGTCACCGTGCAGCAAGAACAGGTACTGGGTACCTAGTCTATACCGGAGTTTTGTTTCGGTAAAATATTTATATTAAATATTTATGTCAACAATTGGGCGCTTGGGTTGATATCATTTATGCAAGTTAGATTTCAGACGTCTTCTCGAGCAGATAACAGGGCGTTTATATTTTATACTAGTATTTGTGCATCGTGGACAGAATGGTCATGAGCTTGCGGAGTAGAACTGGGCCCACTTGCACAGAACAATCTAAGTTACAATCGATCTTAGGCGGCTACAATCAACTTTACAATCACCCTACAATTGTCCTATTCCACTTGCACAAACCGATCTTAGCGCGATTGTAAGACGGCTTGGATTTAAGATCGCGATCTTAAGGAGTTAATTGTAGCGCTAAGATCGCTTTGTGCAAGTGGACCCTGGTCCCCAGTAGCCCATGCTTATTGACAGCTCAGGTTCTGTCATTTGGCTCATATCGTGACCGATATATATTGTGAGACGTTGCTAACGCCATCAGTCGGTTGTCAGTCTGCTTTTGGCTGCTTTATTTTCAGGCCGTCCTGATGAATGGAAAAGTGCTGACTGTGCTCTTTACCCAAACTGACTCACTCACTACCACTTCCGGGTTAAAACGTGTCCCCGCGAACTTACACTGGTCGTAATGGGCGACTAAATGCATTGGATGGTCAGGTTCGGTTGATTGCGAGTTATGGCGTGGACCGTTGCTAGTGATAGCAATCACTGTAATGTCTGGTCCAGAATTGTATACAGACCGCCATCATATTTGAATATGACTGAAACGCTTTATTCCCGTGATACTGATCAGGCAGGTAAAATACACAGTCAGCCAACAACGTATCCATTGGTGCCACACGGAGGGATCACATTGGCAGGCCAGTTACAGACCTGCCCGTCAGGGTCGTACACTAAACCTGAAAAGAAAATACAGTAAACTACGTTTATAACGAACACGCTTATAACGAACTGACGGATAAAATGAACTTATTGTTTAGTCCCGGCCATTTCTTGTATATATGCTGTATATATGCTTATAACGAACTACGGTTATTACGAACTACAATTAGTGGTCCCTTTGAGTTCGTTATAACCGTAGTTTACTGTACATCATTAACATCTGTCGAACTTATAAAAAAGATACGCGCTGGTCCGCATTGTCCTTGGTTCATCAGCAGCATACCCTGATACCCTACCATCTGCATCACTTCCAGCCTCCCTCTCACGTCAAGCTTTCATCAACAGCCATTCATTCATTGAAGAACCGTTGAATCAACAACTCCTGCAATATTCCTCCGCAGCATTTATCACGCGACGCGTATTGTTCAACAAAATAATACTTCAAACGAAAGAATTTCAGTTATGACCCTTGAGTAGAGTTTGACTGATCATATTTGATAAAAGTATCCACCAAAGGGCCAGAGTGAAACATAGTCACATTAAAGGCAGCCAAGAGTCGCGGATCGTCTTTATTCCAAAGTATTAAAAAGCCTTGATTCAGGCGTAATTGAAGTTTCTATTTTGAAGTGACGTCTCCGTCTGTTTGGCAACTTCCTCTGGCACATGGGTTTGAATTGATTTGGCAATTAATTTAAGCCTAAATAGGCCTAAATTCGCAGCCATCCAGGGGCGACTGGGTTCAGGATAATGATAATCATGAATATATATATATATATATATATATATATATATATATATATATATATATATATATATATATATATATATCACTTGTTATTAATGCATATTACTCACGACTTCGTGTGTTTCATTCAACAATTAAGGGGCGGTCGGGTAGCCTAGTGGTTTAAGCGTTCGCTCGTCACGCCGAAGACCCGGGTTCGATTCCCGATATGGGTACAATGTGTGAAGCCCATTTCTGGTGACCCCAGCCGTGATATTGCTGGAATATTGCTAAAAGCGGCGTAAAACCAAACTCACTCACTATTCAACAATTAAGCCGTTTGAATTGTTTTTAAACCGCATATTTTAAAATATTGTAAATGAAAACTTTTATTCTACAGAATAAATACCTGATATTAAAAGAAATATCTGTAAATATGCTGATGGGCTTAAGGTTGCATCGTACACGGGTCTGTCAACCTTAAAAAATCGATTTACCTTAACTAAGGCTGCTTTGTTATGTGTGGCCCAGGTGAGCTCTTTATTTATCTGTTAAGGGTGGTTACCTTCGGGGCAGAAGTTGTGCCCGTAGTAGTAGCCGTTGTGACACGTGTAGTATGTGTGGCAGCCAGTCTGGAAGTCAGGGTACCTGTTGTTGGCCAACTTGTCGCAGTTCTTCACATCCGTGCACGGCCAATAGCCAGCGCCCGGACTAAAAGATGTAAAAAATAATACAACTGTTGTTAGCAGGAGAAAGCAGTTTGGATTGGCACTGTGTATATCAACGTACAGACAAACAGGTTCTGTCATCTTAGGCAAAGTCATACTCTTTACACAGAGACATGAGCATGACTATTTATAATCATTTCAAAGCTTCCATTTCAAGATGCCATGTCATGCAAGTCACTGTGTTGTATCATTGGACAAGGTTATCGACTTGTGATACGAATAAAACAGTTGTTAACTGTGATGTGAAATGCCCATTAACCATCATTTATCCTTACTTGGAAAAACAAATACACCATAAACAAATATATAAATACAAATACTGTATTGCAATAACGTAGACTAATGACCCAAAGAAAGTTTACCAACCAATATTGTTTGTTTCTAAAAACAGAACAGGACCAATGTCAAAGAAGACACTTACATTGTAAATAGACATGCATTAAGAACATCAGTACAAGTTATGTGTGAATGAGAACAAACATGATAGTGTAATGTCCAAAGTATGAAGGATGGAGACAGTTGTTCAGTCATCAAACAACCATGAAGACTGAAATCAGCACATACTCCTTCAGAATGTCACAGTTGTCAGTCAATATCGTGTATGCCCACCATGAGCATCAACGCACACCTCAACTCGACGATGGGCAAAATATGTAAAACGTCTGATCATAAGAAATAGGATTTGACGCCATTCTTCTAGGAGGGCCTGTACTAACTGATCCTTGTAATAAGGGCTACCTGATCGTGCTCACACCTGATGGTAAAGTTGATCCTACAAGTGTTCTATAGCTGACAAGTCTGGTGACTGAGCTGTTCATGGCAAGACGTCGAACGGGGCCTTGTGTTATCTTGCTGAAACAGGGTCCGGTTGTACAACAGGGTAGAGAGATTGGTCAATGTAACACTGTCCAGTGATGTTTCCGTCCAAATTCTCCAGATCTGTCTTGACTTGGCTACATTTGATATACCTACAGGTGCCGCATTGTCTTGCAACTTGGTTAATGATGCCTCATTGACTTGGCTAATGATGCCTCACTGACTTGGCTAATGATGCCTCATTGACTTGGCTAATGATGCCTCACTGACCTGGCTAATGGTGCTTCATTGACTGGGCTAATGATGCCTCACTGACTGGGCTAATGATGCCTCACTGACTTGTCTAATGGTGCCTCATTGACTGGGCTAATGATGCCTCACTGACGTGGCTAATGATGCCTCATTGACTTGGCAAATGATGCCTCACTGACTTGGCTAATGATGTCTCACTGACTGGGCTAACGATGCCTCAATGACTTGGCTAATGATGCCTCACTGACTTGGCTAACGATGCCGCCCCAAATCATAATGCCGCCACTTCCAAACGGTCCGACATCTTGAACGCAACAACGCGGTAGACACAAACTCTTCCACCTGCTCTGAAAAGATGGAATCTGCTATCTCCCGTGAACATGACACTTTGCCAGTTTCTGTTGCACCTGCTTTGCAGTGTTTGAGCCCAACGATGTCGGTGTTCCAGTGTCGGCATTGCATCTCGTAGTAGTCTGCAAGGTCTGATATTGTACTGACACAGTCTTCTGGCCACTGTCCAGTGGCTGACAGGATGACTGTTGCCGCTGAAGACGTTGCCGCGATGATACGATTCCTCAGATGGAGGAGACGTTTGTTACGTTTTCCTGCACGATGGGGACAGGATCGGAGGTCTGCCACTTTTAAGCCTGTCTCTTCCGCCAAGTCAGACTGTAACAAGCCATACGTCGGGTGACTGTCATCGGCTTCAGCTAAAACTCCTTGCACTGGTCATGTGTTGCGCCTTGCTTGTATCATACCAACAGCTTGTTCTCCCGATTGCAGCATTAACACTAGCATGTTATTTGTCACTGTCCAATGGTTTGAGTGTGAGTGCCAATACATCATTCCTTATGTACCAATTGTTGTAGGTTGGCATGCTGCAAGTGCATCAAACGTTTCACTTCAAACTCAAATTCCACTGATATGGCTACCGGAGCACTTCCCAGCAAATTGATTTGGTTCTGTTTGGGCGATTGATTCTCAACCGTTCTGTAACACTAATCAGAGTGTGGACCAAAGATGTCCACATCTTAGCTTCGTAACGTTTCTTTTGTCCATCATCAACAATCTTAGTAATTGAAAAATACGTTCCTCTTGGAGTTGTGAGTACAAACATGTCAATTTAACCAGTTTTTCTATCAATTCTGTCAATTCGACAATGGAAAAGATGAAGTCACTACTTGGAGAGTTTGTTGTCATTCTGAATATTTATGCGTACATCTAAATATCTATATATGACACAGATGAGTCGATTTCACTGGTCATAATTCCACGTATTGTTTTCTAAGTAAACGTCAGATGACACTTGCATTATTGTTTTACAAATTGATATATTTATCTAAATGGTTGTTGCTTTTGGTCAAGAATAACTACTGTTTCTCATGACATATTTTAAGTGACCAGGCTACCAAGTCATTTTTGCAATTCAACTAGTCAATGAATATGGTGGTGCAGTCTCCACAAGGAAAGATAACTCTAATATCCAAACACAAAGGACAGTCAGAGATACTGTATCAGAATCAGAGTTTTTAACGAAACAAAACGTGAATTTTAAATCGCCCAATGTGTTCTACATAATGTCAGCACATCAATATCAGCTCCATGTAATTAAGTACAGGAAAGGTTCCAGAGTTCAACCAGTCCGACTTTGGCTTTGCAATGATTACACCAGTTGGCACCATCTTAAAGCTGGGATATTGCTGAGTGCGACATTAAACAAAAAAAAACAACAAAATACAAACCCATAAAAATTGGCAGTTTCCAATGATTACCGTAGGTTGATTAAAAAAAACAAGAGCAAAAGAAATTATACCTGTCAGTTGTTTTATCACAAGTTTTATTTTCATTTAGCGATATCTCAGAAATAAACTGTACTGGCGCTTAGTCAGCAACAAAAGAATACTTCTACATGGTTTTTTAAATAAAATTTGGTTTAAAACTTAAAAGTTCAAAAAAGAAATTCGCATAATACGCAACTGCTGATAGGTAGGTTAGCCATCTTATGTTTGAAAATCGACACAAATTGAACAACATTTTAGGGGTAGGAGTCCTGTGGTTGCGGATACATCTAATTACTACAGTCTTTATTGAACCGACCGCCTCCGTGGTCTAGTGGTAGAGCGTCCGCCCGGAGAGCGGAAGGTCCGGGGTTCGTTCCCCGGCCGTGTCATACCAAAAGACGTTAAAAGATGCTATTTATTGTTACCAAGTCGTCTGGCGCTCGGCATTAAGGGGCTAAAACAAGGACCGGTCGGCTCGGAGTCAGTATACTGTTTCTGAGTGGGGTATTCATGTTAAACTGCGACATGGTATCTCAGTGAGCTAGCACTATAAATCGGCATCAGTCCGGACTAGTACAAGCAGCCACACACACAAATGCATGCACGTCGCTATATAAGTGCAATAATCTTGGACGCGACGTTAAATTCAATTTCACCTCACCTCTTTATTTAAAACCAATCTCGTTTTACACAAAATTACCCAGCCACAGATTACATTTTTCAAACCGTTTCAGGAATGACTGGTGTCAAAGAGACATAATCAAAGTTAACAATAGTTCTTGTTGAAACAAACTCGGGATACTTTCTTTCGCTACTGTACAGTATATATAATTGTACCTATACATGTCATTTCCCGGATGAGAGGCAAAATCTATTGACCTTATTGTCCTCTTATCTGTATCGGTGGAATTTTGCAGTCAATTACATGAATTTTGTTGGGAGTTTTAAAATGGAAGAAGCAATAGGTTTCGAGATGCTAACATAAATATGAAATATACATAAGGTGCAAAACGGATTACTTCATTTCGACTGACGCTATGTTAAACTATCTTCAAAGTACTTGAAAGAACAATAGCTACAAACGTTTTCAGAAGAGCCACTGAAATTTGTAAGACGTGTCGATGAAAACCAAACAGATAACACGACTGAAGGAAAAGCTTCTTAACGGGAATAATCATTTATACTAACAAAATATGAATTCAATCTACTGATAAAATCACCAATTTACCAAAGTGAAAAAAACAAATATATATTTTTGTGAATAACGTTATCATTCAGTGTTACTATCTGCGTTGTACAACATATGGCCCCAAGAGCCGTGTTTTCTCACCGCTATGACTTTCATCCCAGGGTACCTCATGGACGTTATGGCTGATAAGACTTACAAAAGAAATTATCGTGACAACAGATAATGACTTAGAACTAGTGAGACAACCAAGCCGTTATGAAACCTCACTGTATACACAATACACCAACGTTAATGTTAACGTAGATGAGGTGAAATTGGTTTTAACGTCGCGTCCAAGATTATTGCACTTATATAGCGACGTGCATGCACGTGTGTGTGTGTGTATGGCTGCATGTACTAGTCCGGACTGATGCCGATTTATAGTGCTAGCTCACTGAGATACCATGCCGCAGTTTAACATGAATATCCCACTCAGAAACAGTATACTGACTCCGAGCCGACCAGTCCTTGTTTTAGCCCCTTAATGCCGAGCGCCAGACAGGGTAACAACAAGTACCATCATTTAACGTCTTTTGGTATGACGCGGCCGGGGATCGAACCCCGGACCTTCCGCTCTCTGGGCGGACGCTCAACCACTGGACCACGGAGGCGGTCGTTTAGAATAGAAATGTTCGTGGGTAATTTCCACATATAGCTCGCTGGTAACTCATGCATCTTCCCAATATCACGCCAATCCATACTAAGGAGACATGATGACGATGGGGTTCAACGTCACTCTCTACATTATCGTACTTATAATATAGCGACCTGCAATTCACAGGTGTATGCGTGGGTGTTTGTACTAGTCCGGAGTTTTTCAGGTTTTATGGCGCTAGTTCACTGAGATACCATGCAGCACTTTAAAATTGATATCCCACTCAGACACAGTAAACTAACTCAGAGTTCACCACCTTTATCTCCCTAATGCCGAGCACCAGCAAGGGCAACAACAAAATAAGAACCATCTTTTTACGTCTCTGGGTATGACGTGCCCAGGGGATCGAATCACCGTCCTTCTGATCCCCCGGCAGACGCTCCATCCACTAGACAACAGGCGGTCTTAGAGCATGGAATACTGGATAACACATTGTAATGTCCTCACAGCTGCATATTCGACACAATGCATATAGGGGGTATCACAGATGCCTCAGTCGTCTAAGGCACCGCAACTCGTTGTACAGAGTTCAGAGTTGCGTCCCTTGGGCATGGCAGAAACCAATGATTTCTGGTTTCGAATCACGGTTCGCCCCAATTATGTTTCTAGGTTTGGCAGCACCATACCCGTGCTCGTGGGTTTCACCGAAGTGGTAAACGTCTGAGACCTGCATCACTTCGGGCTTTCCTCCCACATTAAGCTGACACGCCGTGATATAACTGGAATACTGTTCAAGGCGGCGTTGAACCCAACTCACTCACTCACTGCATGTACCTTTTATCGACTATTACTGATTATTATACAACCGGTACACGTCACTGGCGCGGATGTTAGTCGACAAAAATATTGTCGTTTATCGTTAACTGAATATATGTTATCCACTTTTGTTTGTGTTTCTAAAACGCACGTTATCCGATATTCATATACACTTGTGACCCGTGAAGATCCGGGGTAGAATAGGTCTCTAGCAACCAATGCTTGCCGTAAACAGCGACTATGCTTGTCGTAAGAGGCAACTAACGGGATCGGGTGGTCAGGCTCGCTGACTTTGTTGAAGCATGTCATCGTATCGATGCTAATGATGTCAATCACTGGATTGTCTGGTCCAGACTCGATTATTTACAGACCTCCGTCATATAGCTGGAAAAGTGCTGAGTGCGGCGTTAAATAAAACAATATATACATATACACTTGTTTCTGGTTTTGTTAATTTTTAGTTAGGATATCAACATGTATACTAAAAGTGCCATTGGAAACAGAAACATTTTTTTCTGAAAGAAATACATTTATTACAGCAAATGATCACATCACATACCGAATGCAGCGCTGGTGGTCGGGGTCAAATACTTCAGTACTATTGCACCGTATTCTCACAGCCACACCTCGCAAACACACCAGATAGTAGAAACAGGAGTACTCATAGATTCCGTTGGGCTTGCCAGTACAGTCAAGGCCAAACACTACAACTACAAGAAAGAAAATGTATGTTAGGTATTATTATGTACAGATTAATATAAATTTAAAAAATGCAGCAAAGAGATTTGGGTGATCCTGGCACAGTCAGGCTGGTTTGGCTCATCATCAGCTCAGGGCCCTTGGCCCCTCTACACGCAGCCCGGACAGAGAATGGGACATCATCCCGGGAAGCGCTGCCTAGTCAAGCCCACCGAGAACTTTTCGGAGAATGTGAGGCCTCCCAACGCTGCAGTCTTCTGCATTACCCAGATTGTCAGAAAGGCTGCAAACCCGGGTACTCTCCCAATGTCAGACAGGGGTTTCGAGGTACCAACCCTTTGGCACCGAGGACAATGGGGAGATGGTTGGTTGGTTGGTTGGTTGGTTTGTTGTTTAACGCCGCACTCAGCAATATTCCAGCTATAAGACGGCGGTCTGTAAATAATCTAGTCTGGACCAGACAATCCAGTGATAAATGTCCTGAGCATCGATCCACGCAATTGGGATCGATGACATGCATCAACCAAGTCAGCGAGCCTGACCACCCGATCTTGTTAGTCGCTTTTTACGACAAGCATAGTCACCTTTTACGGCAAGCATTGGTTGCTGAAGACCTATTCTACCCCGGAATCTTCACGGGTCCAATGGGGAGATGTCAAACGTGACTTTTCGAAAGCGAGGTCCGCATATTTGCCATGTCATTGCCAATCATATAAATGTCAACAGGGACAAAAGTTAGTAAAACATGAACGATTTCATTGGATTTATGAAAAAAGAAGGCATGTGAGCCATTGTACAAAGCGATATTAGCGCTAAGTTGAACGTAACTCCCATACCTTAACATATACTTGCGACTGTCGTAGTGCTAATGTTGTTTTGTACAACGGCACCCAGGTTTCTTAGCCTGGATACGCCTGGGACTGTTTTCTGGCCTATTCCAATTTTATAATAATTTTAATTTTCTATTACGCCTCTACATGTTCTGGGTCGTGCCATGGGTGGACCCCTGTGTCAAAACCAAGCATGGCGATGACAGTAATTCATACGCCTTACTGAGTCTGGTGTCAAACTGGAATCATTCACTCACGACTTACACCATGAGTGAGTTAAGTTTAACGCCGCTTTTTCACATTATGCCAGTTATATCACGGCGTGTCAGCTAAATGTGGGAGGAAAGCCCGAAGTGATGCAGGTCTCAGACGTTTACCACTTCGGTGAAACCCACGAGCAAGGGTATGGTTCTGACAAACCTAGAAACATAGTCGGTACGAACCGGGATTCGAACCCACAACCATAGGTTTCTGGCGTGCCCAAGGGACGCAACTGACTGGGCCACCCGTGCCCCCTTACACCATGACAACACATGTTGATGCTTAGCAGCTAAGTTGGTTATACCACGGCCTTGCTGCATCATGTTTTAGACAATATGATGTTTACCACTTTGGTGAAACACACGGGCACGTGTATGGTGTTGACAAACCTAGAAACATAATCAGAGCAAATATGGGATTCGAACCCACGATCATAGCTTTCTTGCATGCCTAAGGGACGCAACTCCGTATAACGATGTACAAATGAGTGTGTATGTATGGTTTTACGCCGCTTTTAGCGATATTCCAGCAATATCACGGCGGGGGACACAAGAAATTGGCTTCACACATTGTACCTATGTCGGGAATCGAACCCGGGTCTTCGGCGTGACGAGCGAACGTTTTAACCACCAGGCTACCCGACCGCCCCACAAATGACCTAACTGTAGTTTCACAATGGTATATGAGAACTGTCAGTCGTGTTAGGAAGGCGTCGTCTTACCTGCAGTGAAGCCAAAAAAGACAGCAACAATAAAGTACCACCGCGGTGGCATTTTGAGACCTGGTACGAAGATAAGGAGTACTTGAGACAATAGCTGTAGATAAGGCGCGAAATGAACATGTCCTCTTAGTGTTAATACTGACCCAGGTGACACGATAATGAGATGAAACACTACTGTGCAAAAGCAACTTCCCCCGAATGGTATCAGAAACGCGTAGTCTATCTGTCCATCATGCCTGAGTGTGAACTGGTGGATTTTGTTTTCTCTCAAGGCCCTAAACCTGTATCTTTCACAGAATATTTGTTAAAATCATGATGCTCCAATGTTTAGTGATTTGTGAATATGCGAGTATGCATATTTTGTGGCATGATAGGGTCTAAAAAGACAGCAATGGGAAATCCGGGAAAGACAAGACCCCCAGTACATCGTGTTTTCATGGTCTGTGACCTGGCTGTTTATGTGTTTCTTACCAGGCAGACAGACACACAGTTTATTCAGTATGCAAGGCCATATGGCCCATAGTATAGTTCAGTTTTAACAAACACATAAAAATCAACGTGATCTTGAACATAGTATAATATATTCACCTTAGTCTAAATACATGTTTCATATACATTGCTAAAGATTTGATAACTTCTTCATTTGTCGAATTCAACAAATTGAATATCAATTGATTGTCTTTGTGTGTAATATCTAAATTAGGTAGAAACTTTAATCTCAACGTTTTATATTTTTCACATAAGAACATGAAACTCGTCTTCAATCTCCTGGTTGGTACAGTTAGAACATATATAATTTTCAAAATCACTATCTTTCTTTCTACGATATTTATTGACAAGGAGGTTATTTATATTCTAAATTTACAAAGTGCTCTCAATTGAGTTTTATCTTGTATCTTACCCCGACGACGTAACACGTGGTATATGACATGCAGTCAGCTAATATTTTAAGTTACGTGATATATCCGGAATATTGCCGATTGCAGCGAAACACGATAACATAATAATTCAACAGCGCAGTACTTTTCTACAAACCAAAAGTACCGTAAAACTATTTCAGACCCAGTCTTCCTTTAAATATGGAATATATCCAGTCATTAAGTTTGAAGATGTATTGATTAAAGCCTTTTCTAAACGTATTTATGTCACGTATCATTGTTGATACAGCCCAAAGTGACCCGGTCTCAGACATTTACCACATAAGAGAAAAAAGAGATTCTGGGATTCGAACACACACTCAGCGGATCCTGACATGGCTCAGCGTCAACGACGCGTTAGACTACGTGGCCTATCTTGCGACCGCTTTATCCAGACTTAGCAAAGGACAAACGAACACCATGATTACACGAAGAAACATTCAACTGGTGTTAAGGATATTTGATGTCCTCTGAATTTATTATCATTAATGTGTTCCTGTACGAACGCCATTTCATCTAAGTTGTCCAGTTATTGGAACCCGGACTTGACAGGTTTTGATGTAAGTTCCTCTGCTTCATGCTGTCAAAACTCACCATACTGCAATTAACCTGTCGGTCAGGTGATTTCTCTCCTGTTGACAATGACAACCATTATCTGTTTTAGAACTGACAGTTTTAGAGAAATTATAAAGGACCTTACCTCTTTCATTCTCAGTCCGCCTTCGTCATATTTTCTAATTAAAGTTGTTCGTTTTATTTTGTCCTTTTTATCATTCCAGATGAATCTGTACAATATTTTGTTTAGTTCATCAATAAATTCACTTGGCGGGTTTGGAAGAGAGGAAAATGTATGTACTAAGGTTGACAGGGCCAAGGTTTTGACAACAGTAATTTTACCTATCAAATTAAATTTCTTTTCCTCCAATTCCCTAAAATTTAATTTCAAATCTCCTCTTTGTGATGATTACCCACAGATTATTTAAGTTCGAATTAAGTTTTATTCCCAATATTTCAAATCCCCATTGTGCCAGTCTAGTTTCAGATCCTGACATAATTTGATATGACAGCATTGAACCTATCCATATTGCTTTTGTTTTATCAATATTAATTTTTAATCCTGACATTTTATAAAAATCATTTTGGGTGTCAGTCGCAGTACTTAAACTTTCATCAGTCCCATCTAGAAATATTTCAGTATCAGGAGCATATTGTCAAAGTTTATGTTCCACATTATTCAGTTTGATACCTTTTATTGCATTATTATCACGAATCATTATTCCCAACGTTTCAGCAACGAGCAGGAATAGATATGGAGACAATCGGTATCCTTGTCTACACCCCCTTTCGTTACAGAAGAATTTAGATAGGTGTCCATTTTGTATGATGCAAGATGAAGCGTTATTTATAAGTATGTATATCCATTTTCTTATATTAGGTCCAAAGCCAAACTTTTCCAGTGTCAACATGGTAAATTGTTTTGAAACAGTTTTACTGTATCAAAAGCTTTTTCAAAGTCTATAAGTAATAGTAGACCAGGCTTAGTTTCTAATTTTGTTTGAAACAAAATATCATGTAGTAGTCGTATGTTTTCGCTGATACATCTTCCAGGGGTAAAGCCAGTTTGGTTTTCGTGTACGAGAGTATTAAGTGTTGCTTTAATTCTGTTTGCTATACATGTACTTAAAATTTTATACAATGAATTTAAGAGAGAAATTGGTCGCCAGTTTTTGAGTAGTTGTTTATCTGTAGTGCCTTTGGGTATACAGGTAATGACACCTCTATTCATTGTTAGACTTAAAGTGTTATTTCCAAATGTTTCTGTAATATTCCAAGATCTTTCGAGAAAAAATTGAAAAAACTCAACACGGAATCCATCAATACCTGGGCTTTGGTTATTTTTCATAGATTTTACGGCCTTTGTTATTTCATTCATGTTAATCGTGTTTTCTAAATAATCAAACTGTGATGTACTAAGTTTTACTAACTGTATTCAACTTCCAGTAGCCCCTACCTCTTTCTTTTCTAAGTGTATTTGAAAAAGTCACTATAATTGCAGAGTGATCAGATTTGTATCCTGGTATAATTGTAGAATCAGTAGTAAATTATATTTGCAATGTCTTCTGACACCAAAAGGAAGTCAAGTCTAGCTAGTCTAGGCTTTTTCTTCCACCGTGTGTATTTCTTTGCATCTAGATTTTCTGAATTTCTGAGTCAGAATTTCTGCTCTGATTGGCAAAATAAAAACAAAGAAATTTCTCCAAGAATTTTAATTTAGGCTTAAGGTATATCGATGATCTGATATCGTTCAATAATGGTCAAATAGCCACTCCCCAGTCTCATCCGTTTCTTTTTGGGACTCATGCATAAATATTCAGAGTGACACAAAAATGTATCCACAAGACTCAAGACTGTAAGGAATGGGGTATGACTTTCCAATAGTCAACCATAGCTTTATGTCGAACAGTATTCCAGCAGGGCCAACCTTTGGTGTCTACATTTCACAACGTTTGTGGTGAAAACACGAATACTCTTTCTCCTAGATTTCAAAGAGCGTCATATGACTTTTGCGATTCATAAGCAGAATCGTTTAATGGATTCTGTCTTCAGCAGATGTTTCTTCTGATTAAGTTAAGCGTTTTGTGACGTTTATTTGTTTGTTTATTTATTGATTTCGGCCTGACTCAGCAATAGTGTGCAAAATTATGACGGCGCCCTGACAAAAATCGAGTCCAAATAAGACAATCCAGTGATTGATGTTATAAGTAACGATCCAGGCAGTCGGGATACAATGACATGCAAGTCGCCTCGTAAACCAGTACATATGTCCCCTGCCTAAATGTAAGGAACATTTCTGTAACTTCCTGCAATCATGCTATTTGATAGTCTACATGTCAGCAGACCCAATGAAAACCACTGAGATATGAAGTCACGAGGAAAACTACTTTACTTATCTAATTGCATAAACCATATGTCACTTTCCATGTTTTTTTCCATGTGACTGTTGTAACGTTTGTGTCTGCAGAAAAGATATCACCACGACCAGACATGTTGCTCTTGGTGGTTCTGTTGGGAATTTTTGCAGGTAAGCAACGATTCAGTCATTGAATTAAGGTGAGGTGAGGTGAGGTGAGGTGAGGTGAGGTGAAATTGGGTTTAACGTCGCGTCCAGGTTAAAGCCTTCGCTCGTCAGGCCGAAGACTCGGGTTCGATTCCCGACATGGGTACAATGTGTGAAGCCCATTTCTGGTGTTCCCCGCCGTGATATTGCTGGAATATTGCTAAAGAGGCGTCAAACCCTACTCTTCTCACTAACTCAATCAATTATCTCCAGGAGATGACGATCTCGGACATTCCTCGCGATAATTACTTTAATTTAGATTCCTTGAAATATTTCATTTTATCTTCTTTTAGGAGCGATAGAAATACAGTAAAATACGTTTATAACGAACGATCTTTATTATTGGTCCCGGCCATTTGCTGTATAGATGTTGTATATATGCTTATAACGAACTACGGTTATAACGAACTAAAATTAGTGGTCCATTTGAGGTCTTACACAATTCGATGTTGTGGATCATCGGTGTCGCGGTATTCAGCTTGCTTTTTTTAAAATTCAGGGTTTGCAAACACAGTGCACGGAAAGGCCGAAATGAAAGATGTTCTTTACGTGTCTCACTTTGGCGAAGCCGATGGACATGGTTATAGTGATGATAGACGAAGGGGTACATTAAGATTTGTTTGTTGTTTGACGCCGCACTCAGCAATATTCTAGCTATATGTCTGTAAATACTCGCTTCTGGACCAGACAATCCAGTGATTGACATCATGAGCATCGATCCGGGCAATTGGGATACGGTGACATGCATCAACCAAGTTAGCGAACCTGACCACCCGATCCAGTTAGTCACCTCTTACGACAAGCATAGTCGCCTTTTACGGCAAGCATGGGTTGCTGAAGACCTATTCTACCCCGGATGTTCACGTTAAGGTTACATTTTGACAGCAATACCCATACTTATATTTCAGCGGCAACGGCATTGGACTGCACCGGTCAGCCAGATGGGATCTACGAGTACACCTGCTTCTCATACACGCGCTGCATACAAGGAGTGGCAGTAGAGATCAGATGCAACAGCACTGACATCTTTGATCCCAACCAGCAAAGATGTGTGACGTAAGTAATATGTACGGGCCATTTGTTTTTTTTTATCTTTTTCGATACTATCTTGAAATTTCAAGATACTAAGTTGAAATTTCAAGATACTAAGTTGAAATTTCAAGATACTATATTGAAATTTCAAGATACTAAGTTGAAATTTCAAGATACTAAGTTGAAATTTCAAGATACTATATTGAAATTTCAAGATACTAAGTTGAAATTTCAAGATACTAAGTTGAAATTTCAAGATACTAAGTTGAAATTTCAAGATACTTTCTTGAAATTTCAAGATACTTTCTTGAAATTTTAAGATACTAAGTTGAAATTTCAAGATATTAAGTTTTTAACATCCTAAGATGTAAAACTACGTTTGAAGTGAATAATCTTGAAATATCAACTAAGTATCTTGAAATTTCAAGATAGTATCGAAAAAAATAAAAATAAAAATGGCCCTTAAGGGCTTCCGTAAATATGATAATAGTCATAATATTAATATCTTTGACATCATCTTTATGATCATAACCATTAACCATAACATTGATCATGTTAGTAGTATAGAGTCAGTAGGCAGGAACCTTTTTTGGTTGAGGGAGGTTGAGTGAAAATAGGGAAGGTAATTGGCTGTTCCAAGTAACGTGATCGGATAGGATGACTCATGCATCAACAGCGCGTCACAGGTGAGGGGGAATGAAAGGTGTGTGTGTTTATAAGGCATAAAAGAATTCGTAAGTAAACAAAAAGTAAAGGGTATTCAATAGAGCTATGCGTATGGCGTGCTGTCCTGAATAGACAAGCAGCCCAGTTTGAATCGAGCGCGCTGGACAACTCACGTGACCACGTCGTTTCAAATTGTTTAATGGTCGTAATGGTTTCGTTAATTTCAGGGGTTAGTAGAAATTTCAATTAGCGTACAACTCACATAGTCGTTTCAAATTGACCGCGCTCGCGAGAGCGTGCGGCCTGGTTTGATGAATGCAGGGTGTGTGTTGAACATGATATACGCCGGGTAATGTAGGTAGGGAAAAAAAAAATGTACGTCTAGCTGGATCAAATCCATCTTATACGGTCTACACGTTGTACACCATGAACGTTGGACAACCTGTATGGAAAAAAAAAAATATAGACAAAATAGATAAGACTACGCAATCAGCAAGCTAGCAGTTTACGTTTAGCGCGCAAGAACGAGCTAATGTATAGCAGAGAGACTAAGCGACCGGCCGCCCATAACAATGTCAACATACACTACCCCGGCCTTACAATTAATGTTAATATAACAGCCTCGCCTGAAGCTTCCCATTCATAAATTGTGTGACCAGTGTCCCGTATTTATGATATGTTAGGGAAGATGTGTTGTACATTTGTTATTGTAAAAGGGAGTTATTTCAGAGAGGATATATATATGGGTATTCCCCTCATTAAACCTTTCTTTCGATGGTGTCTATTAAACGTATCCGGTATTTAATACATTTGAATGATGTAGGAAAGTATGTGCGTGTAGATGTTGTACCTATATCCGAACACGAATGTATGACACCTTTCAATAGATCAATTACGGTTATAACCACGACACGCAACATGACTATGAGCGTGGTTAGCAGTTCATATTTTTTAAACACATCGTAAATGACAGATTTCTGATGAATGAACTCGCCCGCACACATGTCTATAGGGTTATGTTCGCCCGAACTGTAAACAGTGACACATTGATAACAGGAAGGGTGTGTGGAATGCACTCGTCCTTGTAAGGGTAAAATACGCGTTTAAACGCACCATTTAAATGATGACGACATTACTTTTTAGATGTATTGGTATCAGTGAGTGAGTGAATTTAGTTTTACGCCACACTCGGCATTATTCAAGCTCTAGGACGGTGGTCTGTCAATAAACGAGCTTGGACCAGACAATCCAGTGATCAACAGCATGAGCAGCGATCTGTGCAACTAGGAACCGATGGCACGTGTCATCCGAGTCGGCGAGATTGACCAACCGATCCCCGTCAGTCGCCGATAAGCATGGGTTACTGAAGCTCCATTCTATAACCCGGGACCTTCACGGGTGTAGTATGACGAAGACTATATACTAATATGATCGCTTTTTTAACATACTCACAAGTGTGCTGTGAAGAAAAGAGTGTCTTCCAAGATTCCCTGCACGTGTAAGACAGTATAAACTCTACAGTAGTGTAGCCCGACAAACAGTTTTACTCTCGCCAGCAAACGGATTGGACGTGAACAACATGAAGAAAGCATCAGAGATTAGACTTGACCCTAGAGATATATTTAGGAAGACTACGTTGAGAAAATCACAACAGAGAAAGAAACCACAAGCAGCCAAGAAGTCGACGCTGAAGACAAAGAAGAGACAGGTAACACCTAAAATGAAAACGATGACAACCAAACAGGGATCGAAGACAACACCCCAACCCGTGAAAATACAACATGTGTCGGAGGTGAAGGCTGTGGTGGAACGGGCACTTGCTGCCTTGAAGCGTCAACAGAGTCAAGGGTATAAAAGAAAGCTTCATACCCTCTAATCGCACACCGTATTGGATCACCATGGGGGTTGCCACCTGTCCGGACTGTGAAAAAATGTTTTCAAGGAGAGATGTCATGTTACGACACAGGAGAAATAAACATAGCATACCGCCGCTGTTACAAGCCCACCCGCCGCCGCAAGTCCATTCGCCATTACAAGCCCACCCGCTAACGCCGCCGCCGCCGCCGCAAGTCCACCCACCGCCGCCGCTGCGTCAAGCCAACCCGCCGTTACAAGCACATCCGCCGCCGCCGCCGCCATCGCAAGTCCACTCGTGGCTGCCTCATTTACCATGTATATCTGATCTTCGAGAACAATTCAAGTTCCTGATTCCCTCAAATGCTATCGTTGTGGGACCCAGTGGTTGTGGAAAGTCTGTGTTTACCTCTCATGTACTCCGGCATGGCCTGATTCAACCCCAACCTACCCGCATCGTTTGGTGTTATACTCAATGGCAGCCATTATATCAGGACCTCGGTGAGCAGCTGCCTCAGCTGACCTTTGTCAAAGGAATTCCCTACGATATCTTGGACGAGGATTACTTTGATGCTCGTCAACAGAACGTGTTGGTCCTGGATGATTTCCTGGCCGAAGCAAAGCACGACAAGCGTATTTCGCGGCTGTTTACTCAAACCTCACATCACAAGAATGTATTGATCTTTCTCTTGATACAAAATCTGTTTCCGAGAGGTAAGGAATCGAGAGACATTGCTTTGAACGCGCATTATGTCACCCTGTTTCATTCCCCCATAGATAAACAGCAAATCAAACTCTTCGCTCGTAGAATTTTCCCCGAACATATGGATCACTTTATGGCTATGTATGAAAAGGTTGCTGAAACTCCCTATGGGCAACTCACCATCGATCTAAAACCTACCACCAAAGATAAGGATCGACTGCATGTTAACCTCATAAATGAGGAAAACAGGAGAACAACAGCACAGTCTGAACCTGATCTGCGTAGGGAGAACTTGACTACGACAGAATCTCTGGATAGTCCTCTGACACAAGAAGAGAGATTGCCCCAACATCAGCTCACTCCAATTGAAACCGATTCAGACACGAGTAGTGAGACATCATTGACTATGGCCACGGCTTGCGCAGATTGCGGGGTGCTGATAGATAACATGCACGATCTACAGCGACATATCAAACACTGGTGTCCGGCCAATAGCCTTCAACCTAAGAGAAAGCGTGCCAGACTCGAGAGTGATGACGATGACAGTGACTTTGACGACCTAGCCTCTTCCCAGAAAGGCAGTGGTCTTGCCGTCAAACCTCCACGTGGGAAGTCAACATTCACTAATATGGAAGCCGAGGAGTGGCAAAATGTAGGCTTACAACGCATCTGGAAACAGGTGTACGATACGTTTCATGACAAGATGAAACTGCAGAAAAAACAGTACGAGCGACAGGGACGAACGCAAGAATGGATTGAGAGAAGATTGAAACTGAGGTGGGAGGATCTAGTGCGTAGTACTCTCAACTATGCGATGGAATATACCACGTACTTTAAAGAGGCACCTCTGTTTCAAAACATGCTATACAACCTGGGAGACATGAATCCTTCCACGGAACAATCCGTTCTCAAAAATAAAATCAAACTCCTCCTAAAACCCAAGATGAAAGAGATCCTGCCTTTGATGGATATGCCGGAAATAGAAAGTGAGACTGAATCTGATAGCGTTGCAGAGGATAACGACGGTGATGACGAGGAGGATGATGATGATCGTGAGCAGAACGATTAGGCATAAATACCCATCACTACTATATCAGTCTAACAGTCAGAAGAGAATGCCGAGTCAACGCCACGCGTCTAGTTTGATTCATATTTTGAAAACACCTCGTAAACTGAGGCGTTTGAACGATAAGAAACGCCGAATTTCCCTCTACGTGAGAGGAATGGTGAAACTGGGACCTCCTGGACGGAAATCGTTACAAGCAATGGATAAAGCATAGACTATAGACAACCATTCAACCTTAAAACAGCGTAGAAAAGGAAACATTCAACAGTGCGAAATGTGTTTCAAAACATGGACTCGCTATTTAAACAATAGGGCCTTCGAGCAGCAGCAGCATGTGTATATGAGTGACTAAATAATGTTCCAGAGTGAATACTATTGTCCATTCGTATATCACGGCTTTGTATGGAACCGATTGGCTCGAATCAATAAATGATACGAATGAATTGTTTGTTTGTTTTTTCTCATTTTTTTGGCATATTAGTATATAGTCTTCGTCATACTACACCCGTGAAGGTCCCGGGTTATAGAATGGAGCTTCAGTAACCCATGCTTATCGGCGACTGACGGGGATCGGTTGGTCAGTCTCGCCGACTCGGATGACACGTGCCATCGGTTCCTAGTTGCACAGATCGCTGCTCATGCTGTTGATCACTGGATTGTCTGGTCCAAGCTCGTTTATTGACAGACCACCGTCCTAGAGCTTGAATAATGCCGAGTGTGGCGTAAAACTAAATTCACTCACTCACTGATACCAATACATCTAAAAAGTAATGTCGTCATCATTTAAATGGTGCGTTTAAACGCGTATTTTACCCTTACAAGGACGAGTGCATTCCACACACCCTTCCTGTTATCAATGTGTCACTGTTTACAGTTCGGGCGAACATAACCCTATAGACATGTGTGCGGGCGAGTTCATTCATCAGAAATCTGTCATTTACGATGTGTTTAAAAAATATGAACTGCTAACCACGCTCATAGTCATGTTGCGTGTCGTGGTTATAACCGTAATTGATCTATTGAAAGGTGTCATACATTCGTGTTCGGATATAGGTACAACATCTACACGCACATACTTTCCTACATCATTCAAATGTATTAAATACCGGATACGTTTAATAGACACCATCGAAAGAAAGGTTTAATGAGGGGAATACCCATATATATATCCTCTCTGAAATAACTCCCTTTTACAATAACAAATGTACAACACATCTTCCCTAACATATCATAAATACGGGACACTGGTCACACAATTTATGAATGGGAAGCTTCAGGCGAGGCTGTTATATTAACATTAATTGTAAGGCCGGGGTAGTGTATGTTGACATTGTTATGGGCGGCCGGTCGCTTAGTCTCTCTGCTATACATTAGCTCGTTCTTGCGCGCTAAACGTAAACTGCTAGCTTGCTGATTGCGTAGTCTTATCTATTTTGTCTATATTTTTTTTTTCCATACAGGTTGTCCAACGTTCATGGTGTACAACGTGTAGACCGTATAAGATGGATTTGATCCAGCTAGACGTACATTTTTTTTTTCCCTACCTACATTACCCGGCGTATATCATGTTCAACACACACCCTGCATTCATCAAACCAGGCCGCACGCTCTCGCGAGCGCGGTCAATTTGAAACGACTATGTGAGTTGTACGCTAATTGAAATTTCTACTAACCCCTGAAATTAACGAAACCATTACGACCATTAAACAATTTGAAACGACGTGGTCACGTGAGTTGTCCAGCGCGCTCGATTCAAACTGGGCTGCTTGTCTATTCAGGACAGCACGCCATACGCATAGCTCTATTGAATACCCTTTACTTTTTGTTTACTTACGAATTCTTTTATGCCTTATAAACACACACACCTTTCATTCCCCCTCACCTGTGACGCGCTGTTGATGCATGAGTCATCCTATCCGATCACGTTACTTGGAACAGCCAATTACCTTCCCTATTTTCACTCAACCTCCCTCAACCAAAAAAGGTTCCTGCCTACTGACTCTATACTACTCATGTTACTGAAACAAGACATATCTAAAAAAAAAGCAAAATATTCGCAGTGGTATACAATAATGTTGAACCAAAATGCGCAGAAATTATAAACATGAGACTCACACAAGGACATTTATTTACATTTGTACCATATGTTTTTTCAGGTAAACAATTGACTTGACTTTGCATGTGTTTGTGACGGGTGGCCCCGATGGGGCAGGATACGCTCATCTTTTGGCGAACACCTGGTAGCATCACCATTTGATAGCGATTCATAAACACATGCGCATGATATGGTCGGAATCGTACAATCGTCACTGTTTTTGACAGAAATTTCTTATGAATATGGAGAGTGTTTTGTCTCTTTTATTTAGGTGAAGGATTAATGACTAGCATCAGGAAATTATGTAAACAGGGGAGGGGGGGGGGGGGATAAATTGGCTTCAAAATTATTACACTTTTGTAGCGATGCGCATGCAAGTGTGTGGCTGCTTGTACTGGTCCGGGTTAAAAGTACTAGCCCACAGAGAAACCATGCCCCATTTTAACATGGATATCCAACTCGGACACAGTATACTGACTCCGAGCCGACCAGTCCTTGTTTTATCCACTTAATTGCTAGCGCCAGGCAAAATTTCAACATATTTTGGTATGACGCGACCGGGGTGGAACCACCGACCTGCCGCTGTCTGAGTAAACGCTCTATTCACGTGACCAAGGAGGGATTCTATGGAAATAAACCTACCGTCATCACTGTGTGTTTTGATACTGTTTCGAGTCATTTGGGGAATATTTTGCTTAATTTGGATACTTGGGACTCAAATAAGTTCGAGACAACCGGTAAATCTCAGATCCATTTCGGCAGATCCGGGAATAAATGATAATAACTAATAATGGAATAACCGGAATATGAGTTCGAGACATCCGGAAATTCGACACATCCAAGTTCGACATAACGAGGTTCGATTGTTTATAGATACAGCGCGCTGCATAAATACAGCATAGTACCATACTTAAATCAACGGGGACGATAGTTGTATATCTACTTAAACCAAAATATGTCTACATTTTAAAGTTTTTTTCATCTGGTTTATCAGTAAATGCTATTTTGTTGAAGACAGGAGCTTCATTCTGTACAAACACAAACGTTAATCGTTAACGTTAATCCACGATCACCTCCACCTCGATCCTCAGTCGCGGCACACCAACAGACGTTTAAGTGTGGTACTTGTTGTTACCCTGTCTGGCGCTCGACATTAAGGTAGTTCGTTAGCTCGAAGGCAGTAAACTGTGTCTGGGTCGTATACCCATGTTAAACTGCGGCATGACACTCACGCACGCACTCACGCACGCATGTGAAATAATCTTGAACGCACGCACTCTGAGTGCTACAAACCCCACCTCACCTCACCTCACCACACCTCACCTCACCTCACCTCATAGTCCTTCTGTGTCTGGAACATCGCTCACAATGAAGTACACACTACGTACTCACTACAACACTAGGGGGCATGGGGGGCCTAGTCGTCCAAGGCGCCGCGATTCGCTGTGGAGGGTTGCGTCCCTTGGGCACGCCAGAAACCTTCGAATCCCGGTTCGCCCCGATTATGTTTCTAGGTTTGTCTTCTTACGTCTTCTTTACGTCGAATAACCGACCTTCCGATCCCCCGGCAGACGCTCCATCCACTCAACAACAGGTTGTCTTAGAGCATGGAATACTGGATAACACATTGTAATGTCCTCAAAGCTGCATATTGGACACGATGCATAGAGAGGGTATCACGGATGCCTCAGTCGTCTAAGGCACCGCAACTCGTTGTACAGAGTTGCGTCCCTTGGGCATGCCAGAAACCTAGGATTTCCGGTTTCGAATCACGGTTCACCCGATTATGTTTCTAGGTTTGTCAGCACCACACCCGTGCTCCCGGGTTTCACCGAAGTGGTAAAGTCTGAGACCTGCATTACTTCGGGTTTTCCTGCCACATTAAGCTGACACGCCGTGATATAACTGGAATAATGTTGAAAGCGGCGTTAAACCCAACTCACTCACTCACTACAACACTAATAGTGAATATTTTTTACCATCAGTCCTACCGGAGGGTACTGGCCATGCACAAATGTGGTAAACTGCCAGAACCTGGCCGACAACAGATACCCCGACTACAATGAGGGCTGCCAATCCTATTACACTTGTCATAACGGCTTATTCTTGGGAAACAGCTTCTGTCCCGATGGTAGGTCTATGCGAAATAAATCACTAATGTTTATTTTATTGATGAACTCATCCATGCATTTCAAATGAAAGTAATTTTCCTGTTTTGCATTGTATAAAGGGCTATAGTGTTTTGATGTTTTATGTTTTATTCGGTGTTTGGTAGTAATGTAATACCTGACACAGAGGTCAGCCTAGTGGTAAATGCCTTCGCTCTCCACGTCGAAGATACGGGTACGAATCCCCATGGGTACAATGTGTGTAACCCATTCCTGGTGTTCCCCGCCGTGCCGCCGTGATATTTCACACTCACTCACTCACTCACTCACTCACTCACTCACTCACTCACTCACTAACCATACCACCCACATACCCATCCACCCACTCACTAACTCACTCACTCATTTACTAACTCACTCACTCACTCACTCACTCACTCACCCACCCTCCCACTCACTCACTCACTCACTCACCAACAATACCACCAACAATACCACTAACCCACCCACTCACTCACCAACAATACCACCCACTCACTCACTCACTCACTCACTCGCTCACTCGCTCACTCACTCACTCACTCACTCACTCACTCATGTTACTCTTCTACAGCTTGGTAAGCAATCGGGTAAAACTAATCTGGTGATGGTATTTCCAACTCATATAGACAAAAAAAAGTCTCTCCTGTGCTGTAAGGTAGTACTACTGGTAACAATCTTTTTTCAGGTCTTGTGTTCGACTTTGAAAAACAATTGTGCAACTGGCCCTACAACGTCCCGCCTCCATGTGGCACAGCCTGAACTGAGACAGAAATTGTAATCCTTTGACAGAAATAAAACCAGCTCGAAAGCATAACCCATTTTGATGCATGGTCAGAAAGAGCAAAGTACAGTAGAGGATCATACTGAGCACACGTATGACGAGCGTGTAGTACTATGACGAGCCTGGGGTACTATGACGAACATATAGTACTATGACGAGCGTGTAGTACTATGACGAGCCTGGGGTACTATGACGAGCGTGTAGTACTATGGCGAGTGTGTAGCACTATGGCGAGTGTGTAGTACTATGCCGAGTGTGTAGTACTATGCCGAGCCTGGGGTACTATGACGAACATATAGTACTATGACGAGCGTGTAGTACTATGACGAGCCTGGGGTACTATGGCGAACATATAGTACTATGACGAGCGTGTAGTACTATGACGAGCCTTGGGTACTATGACGAACATATAGTACTATGGCGAGTGTGTAGTACTATGACGAGTGTTTAGTACTATGACGAGCCTAGGGGACTATGACGAACATATAGTACTATGACGAGCGTGTAGTACTATGACGAGCCTGGGGTACTATGACGAACATATAGTACTATGACGAGCGTGTAGTACTATGACGAGCGTGTAGTACTATGACGAGCCTGGGGTACTATGACGAACATATAGTACTATTACGAGCGTGTAGTACTATGACGAGCGTGTAGTACTATGACGAGCCTGTGGTACTATGGCGAGTGTGTAGCACTATGGCGAGTGTGTAGTACTATGGCGAGTGTGTAGTACTATGACGAGCGTGTAGTACTATGACGAGCCTGGGGTACTATGACGAGCGTGCAGTACTATGACGAGCATGTAGTACTATGACGAGTATGTAGTACTTTGACGAGCGCATTTTTAAAAATATTTGATATAAAGATACTCCCCATTTTGTTGTATGGGGCAGAAGTCTGGGGTTTACAGCACTTTGATGCCATAGAAAAGATTCATTTATATGTTTGCAAAAAGTATCTAGGTGTTAAAATAAACACTTCCAGCTTGGTGGTGTATGGAGAATGTGGAAGATTCCCTCTCTATGTATATTCAAATATAAAGGTTATTAAATACTGGCTGAGACTTATTGACATGCCCTCATATAGATTGCCAAAAAAGTGTTATAATATGATGATAGTTTATGATAATAATGGGAAAAGAAACTGGGTTACAGGTGTTAGAGAATTACTTTCAGTTGTGGCTTTGGTAATATTTGGCAAAACCAAAATGTGTACTCCAAATCAATGTTTATACTTTCATTAACCCAGAGATTAAAGGATATTTATTTACAGTCTTGGACTGCATCATTGACTCTAACAAACAAGTGCTCTTATTACAAAATGTTTAAATCAGAAATAATTATGGAAGATTATTTATCAAAAGTTAATGTTAAAACATATCGAACGGCTCTTTCACGTTTTAGATGTTCTTCTCACGACCTTTTAATAGAAACAGGGCGTTATGCAAACATTCCTCGTGAAGAAAGAATCTGTAATCTATGTAGTTTAAACTCAGTAGAAGATGAATTTCATTTCTTACTTGTATGTCCAGTGTATTTACACCTTAGAGAAAAATACCTGCAAGCTTATTATTACAGGTACCCTAATATTATTAAATTTGTTACACTGCTGTTAAACACAAAAAGAAGTATCTTACAAAATGTTTCCATGTACATAAATAATGCCTCTTTATACCGACAGAACCTTATGAAAGAATAATCTAAGCTGCTTGGTATTAGGAAACTATTGTGTATATACATTAAGTACACTTTTAAAAATATTTGCCATTTGAAAACAAACAAAAAATTACAAACAAAAGAGTTAGAAATAGTATTAAACTATTAGGCTGTCATATGATATTGTGGGACGTGATATAACAAATGGTTTAGTATAGTTATCATGACGAGAGAGTAAGATCTTGGCGAGTGTGGAGGATCATCAGGAGAGTGTGAGTTCTTGGCGAGTGTGGAGGATCAGCACGAGAGTGTAAGATCTTGGCGAGTGTGGAGGATCATGACGAGAGCGTAAGATCTTGGCGAGTGTGGAGGATCATGACGAGAGCGTAAAATCTTTGCGAGTGTGGAGGATCATGACGAGAGCGTAAGATCTTGGCGAGTGTGGAGGATCAGCACGAGAGCGTAAGATCTTGGCGAGTGTGGAGGATCATGACGAGAGCGTAAGATCTTGGCGAGTGTGGAGGATCATGACGAGAGCGTAAGATCTTGGCGAGTGTGGAGGATCATGACGAGAGCGTAAGATCTTGGCGAGTGTGGAGGATCATGACGAGAGCGTGAGATCTTGGCGAGTGTGGAGGATCATCACGAGAGCGTAAGATCTTGGAGAGTGTGGAGGATCATGACGAGAGTGTGAGATCTTGGCGAGTGTGGAGGATCATCACGAGAGCGTAAGATCTTGGCGAGTGTGGAGGATCATCACGAGTGTGTAAGAACTTGGCGACTGTGGAGGGTTATCACGAGTGTGTAAGATCTTGGCGAGTATGGAGGATCAACACGAGAGTGTAAGATCTTGGCGAGCGTGGAGGATTATCACGAGAGCGTAAGATTTTGGCGAGTATGGAGGATCATGACGAGAGCGTAAGATCTTGGCGAGTGTGGAGGATTGTCACGAGAGCGTAAGATCTTGGCGAGTGTGGAGGATCATGGCGAGAGCGTAAGATCTTGGCGAGTGTGGAGGATCATCACGAGAGCGTGAGATCTTGCCGAGTGTGGAGGATTGTCACGAGAGCGTAAGATCTTGGCGAGTGTGGAGGATCATGACGAGAGCGTGAGATCTTGGCGAGTGTGGAGGATCATGACGAGAGCGTAAGATCTTGCCGAGTGTGGAGGATCATCACGAGAGCGTGAGATCTTGGAGAGTGTGGAGGATTGTCACGAGAGCGTAAGATCTTGGCGAGTGTGGAGGATCATGACGAGAGCGTAAGATCTTGCCGAGTGTGGAGGATCATCACGAGAGCGTGAGATCTTGGCGAGTGTGGAGGATTGTCACGAGAGCGTAAGATCTTGGCGAGTGTGGAGGATCATGACGAGAGCGTGAGATCTTGGCGAGTGTGGAGGATCATGACGAGAGCGTAAGATCTTGCCGAGTGTGGAGGATCATCACGAGAGCGTGAGATCTTGGCGAGTGTGGAGGATTGTCACGAGAGCGTAAGATCTTGGCGAGTGTGGAGGATCATGACGAGAGTGTGAGATCTTGGCGAGTGTGGAGGATCATCACGAGAGCGTAAGATCTTGGCGAGTGTGGAGGATCATCACGAGTGTGTAAGAACTTGGCGACTGTGGAGGGTTATCACGAGTGTGTAAGATCTTGGCGAGTGTGGAGGATTAACACGAGAGTGTAAGATCTTGGCGAGCGTGGAGGATTATCACGAGAGCGTAAGATTTTGGCGAGTGTGGAGGTGATATCGCTTTCGAGATTATTGCACTAATACAGTCACGTGCATACAAGTACGTGCATACATGTGTGTGTGTGTGTGTGTGTGTGTGTGTGTGTGTGTGTGTGTGTGTGTGTGTGTGTGTGTGTGTGTGTGTGTGTGTGTGTGTGTGTGTGTGTGTGTTCGCGCGCGCACGAGTGTACGTGCGTGCGTGACTGTTGGTTCTAGTCCGGACTAATGCTCCCTCGATAGTTCCAGCCCACTGATACACCCTGTCGCAGTTTAACACGGATGCTCTACTCGGACACAGTGTACTGACTCCGAACCCTACCAGTCCTTGTTTAATGTCCATAAAGACGAGGACCAGACGGGGTTATTCAACAAGTACCACCTTTTAACGTCTTTTGGTATTACCTTTCGCTCTCCAGTCAGACGCTCTATCCACAATATCAAGTTGAACATTTATCAGTCTTTGACATGACATAGAGATGAGTAACACACACACATTTCATACTACCTTATCTATATACAAACGGGGGCACGGGTGGCCCAGTCGTCTAAAACACCGCGTTTCGCTGTGCAGAGTTGCGTCCCTTGGACACGCCAGGAAACTATGATTGTGTGTTCGTCCCGATTATGTTTCTAGTTTTGTCAGCACCATACCCGTGCTCGTGGGTTTCACCGAAGCGGTAAACGTCATGACCTGCATGACTTCGGGCTTTCCTCCCACATTAAGCTGACACACCGCGATGCAACTGTAATACTGTTAAAAGCGGCGTTAAACCCAACTCACTATATACAAACCTATGCACACCAAGCCGGTCAAACAGGAGTATTGGAGCACTTTTATTGTGTAAAAAAAGCTCGAAATACCATGTATTAAGGAACGTCTTCAGTATACTCTCTAATCTGCAGTTCCACAAGGTTTCTTTACATTTGACGGCCAGTTGCAGAACTGATGCTCCTCGTCAAACACCGTTCCTGAAATGTTAGAATAGTGAGTGAGTGAGTGAGTTGGGTTTAAATATTCCAGTTATATCGCGGCGTGTCAGCTTAATGTGGGAGGAAAGCCCGAAGTGATGCAGGTCTCAGACGTTTACCACTTCGGTGAAACCCACGAGCACGGGTATGGTGCTGACAAACCTAGAAACATAATCGGGGCGAACCGGGATTCGAACCCACAATCATAGGTTTCTGGCGTGCCTAAGGGACGCAACTCTGCACAGCGAATCGCGGCGCCTTAGACGACTGGACCACCCGTGCCCCCCGAAATGTTAAAATAACAGCACTATACTGCCGGTTACCAATTATAAATGATAGCACATCTTGTTGTATCATTTGTTTGTTTGTTGTTTAACGTCACACTCATCAATATTCCAGCCATATGACGGAAGTCGGTAAATAATCGAGTCTGGACCAGACAATCCAGTTATTGGCATCATTAGCATCGATACGATGACATGCATCAACCAAGTCAGCGAGTCTGACCACCCGATCCCGTTGGTCGCCTCTTACGACAAGCATGGTCAACTGTTGGTTGCTGAAGACCTATTCTAACCCGGATCTTCACGGGAATCGTGTTGTTTCAGATGTCAGTTGATTGGGAAGCAAATACCTTTATACCGGAAATGCCACAAGTAATTGTATCTTAAGTTCGATTTCAGTCCACAAAGATGTCTCAAAATACAGGTGACACATCCTGTAGACATCCCCAAAGAAAATGGATTAATCGGTGCTGCCTTTATTATGCAAGCAGAAAAACTATTTGGTTCTCGATGTACAATATTAAACACGGGATTTGGCTGGAGATTATATCAGTTACAGCTGCATAACCAGATATTTTATCAACTAAAACTACGTGCCTGAATATTATTTAAAGACAACTACTTTGCAACAATGTAATTTTTGTGGCAGACAATTTTTTCAACAGTCTGAAGCATAATATTTTTTTCAAGAATTTTCTGTGGCAATAATTACATTTCGCTCCAAGTTTGTGTCATGAATATGCAAGAATATGATAGTTTTTTTAGGTGAAGAGAACCAGAGACTTTATGACCAGTTAAAGATTGGTACCGTCTGGACAGTAGTTGTGTCCGTAGAAGTAGCCGTTTTGACATGTGTAGTAGGTGTGGCACCCTCCCTTTGCGTCGGCGTAGCGCTTGTCCGGGAGCGTCTTACAGTCTACCACATCCTGACAGGGCCACGAATTATCTATGGGTCTAGAAGAAGAAGAAGAAAAAGAAGAAGATGAAGGGGAGGATTGGTAGAAGGAGGAGAAGGAGAATAAGGAGGAGGAGAAGGAGGGGGAGAAGGAGAAGAAGGAGGATAAGGAGAAGGAGGAGGGGAAGGAGGAGGAGGAGAAGGGGAAGAGGAGAGAAGAAAATGGTTTCATTAATTTGTCACACAAGATAATAAAAATGTTCATCACAAATATACAATGTCAAGCCATATAGACTATGAGACACACGGCACACCACGGCATTTAATATGGGTAAAGTAACTGGATGCACTTACAGATCAAAATATATATTCCCGTGGTTAACATTACATCTCACGTCGGATAAGGTGGATACAGGGAGAGCTTTTGTTCTCTCTCCTGAAACATTTGGGATACTAGTGCTACGAGGGGGTTAAAAACCAATCGTTTCGCAATAAGAGTACGGTCTGGTCGACAGGGGACATCTGCAAAAATGTAGTAGCTGCGTTGATAATACATCAATTTGAATAGCGACGGAAGTCGTTACGGAAGTATGATTCAGCGTATTATTTTTTATAACTTTGTTTATTCATACCCGACTTAACAATCGTTACCTAAAAAACACAAGTACAATAATTTTTTAACGCGGAGACTGAAAATGACGCGTTGGTGTACGGTTTTTTAAATTAGATAAGTAGTACTCAATGGCTCATGCTCAAGTACTATTTATTAATTCACCGGCGCTATAAACAGTGTGTGTCTTTGTTCCCACAGCTTACCGTTCCTGTCACATCCACACACAATCCAAACGGAAATAGAAAATATGAACAATTAAATTTCTCATCCTACCGACCCTACATTCTTAGAAAACATTACGAACATGACTTGTGTTTTTGATCACATTATGCATTTATGTTTTTCCGATGCTAAATATTCTTTGAAGGATTGCTTGAGATAAAGATACAATCGTACAATGGACTCTTAGAGGAGTCTTACGATACGGAAAGAGTTTTGTCACTTTTATTTTATTTCTGATTCTGTTTCAGGGTATTTTCCTAACTTGATCCTGTATATCATTGTTCATTCGCTCAAATTGTGAGCTTTGCTAATACAGGTTTCTCATTAAATCACGCTTCATATTAGATTAAAGTTCAAAGGGAATGTCAAAATTTTATCTTGACAGACTTCTAGGATATAAAGAATTGAAATGTACTAAAACAAAGAAATCATTCATTGATTTCACCCGGAGACAAGAACTGAAACTGTCGAATTAACATAACTGATCACTGCTATTTACGTGCGGGATTTTCATTTTTGTTCACGTTTCTAACCCAAAAAAATCCCGTCTCAAGTAGGTTACTGAACACAATCGTGGCTGTTTTCGCTGACAGACAGTTTCTGACAGCTAAGCTCAAGTGGCCGTAAGAAATGTTCTTAACAGAGATTTAACAAAACTTTTTCAGCTCATAATTCATCATTAACTCGTAAATTTTAAACTCAAACTGGAGTCAATGACCTGGGAATGTCATGCATAGATGAACATAAGTCTTAATCAAGAATGTAAAAAGAAATGATGGCATTTCTGCAGTGCAAGTCAGTATGTTTCAAATACAGAAACAACTCACCTGTGAATCATAATTTAATAAGTCAAATCTTGAATTATATGCATTAAAATAATCATTACATAATAATACAAATATTTTTTAGGAGCCGGGTATTTTGTGTGAGTTATTATCCTTCATTATAACGTCATTGCATTGTTATATCTTATCTGATAACAATATGTTTTCGTGTCTCCTATGAAACACCCCTGCCCTTGACACGAGGGGAAAATGCTTCAAGTTCAAAGTTAATCTTTTCATTTACCAGACTGTGAATATCCGGGTAGGACAATAGGTCTCCAGAAACCTTGGCCGAAAGAGGCGACTGACGGGATCGGGTGGCCAGGATCGCTGACTTGGCTGATGCATGTCATCGTATCCCAATTGATGTCAATCACTGGATTGTCTGGTCCAGACTCGTTTTTTTACAGACTTCCGACTGGAATATTGCTGAGTGTGTTGGATATGGCTCCCCACACCATCACACGTCAGCCACAAAATCTTTTGACATGTGGAATGCATTTCTGTGCAAAACGTCCATTTCGACGTCGGTAGACACGTCGGTCTTCCATCTCAGCGTTGGAGAAGAAATCGTGATTCATCACGTCACTGAACTCCATACGTTGTCGTCGATGCAAACGTCTCAATACAGCGACACATATCGGTCTTCTGCGTCTAAATCCCACCACTCGCGTACGATTCCCGATTGTTTGGTCCGATACCCACCTCAAACCAGGCACATGTCATGCAGTCTCGGGGGTAGTAGCATGTCCATAACGTAGGTGGAAGACCCGGATGTAGCGATCTTGTGCAGGGGTGGTAACTCTTCGTGTTTCACATCTGGGACGATCTTGGGTTGAATTGAGGCTTGAGTACCGATCCCATAAATGAGATAAGGTGCTCTGGTTAGTTGAAATGACGTGCTACTGCCGACTGGGACTCTCCAGCTTCAAGACGTCATATGGCGATGTTGCCATTGGCAGCATTCACTCTCGGCATTTTCCCACTTACATTAGTCGACAAACGTATGACAAAATGTTGAATGACGTTTTGACCTTTTATAGTCATTGTTACTGCACGTGATTGTCACAACTAGCACGTGCATTCTGATTTTGATTTTCTTTCCATGCTATTTTCGCGCAGTCATATATGCTGATTAAAGCTACAAAAGTCAAAAACGGTTGCGTTTATGCACTACACGAATGTGTGACTAGTATCGTTCAATCAAAAATTGATCAATCATTGCATTTGTATTGACTGTTTCATAAATTAACGAAATCAACATTCTCATTATCGCGTTTCTTTCTTGAAGAGTGTAATACAAGCCATTATATGGCAAATATCTTCTAGGCAAATAAAACTTGGGACATACGGATTATACAATTACAAACAAAGGGAGCACCTTCTAGGCAATAGCGGGGCGGTCGGGTAGCCTAGTGGTTAAAGCATTCGCTCGTCACGCCGAAGACCCGGGTTCGATTCCCGACATGGGTACAATGTGTGAAGCCCATTTCTGGTGCCCCCCGCCGTCATATTGCTGGAATAGTGCTAAAAGCGGCGTAAAACCATACTCACTCACTCACTCTAGGCAGCAGCTTAAGGCATAGTGATTTTTAAACTACATGTTAACACCTACTTGATGCATAAACCATCCTTTGAACTGAACACTTCATTGGAGGCACACTTGATGACTCCCTTACTGCCGTTGACGCATTCGGTGTAGGAGAAGCAGGTGTACAGGTAGATGCCGTTCTCCAATCCAGTGCAGTCCAAGGTCCAGGAAGCTGTGGGCAGAAGTATACCGTCCTATTATCTGTCTGGAATCAACCCGTGCGATTCCGGGTAAGAATATACGCCCCCAGCAACCGATGCTTGTCGGAAGAGGCGACTATGCTTGTAAGAGACGACTTACGGGATCAGGTGGTCAAGCTCACTGACTTGGTTGATGCATGTCATCATATCCCAAATGCGTGGATCGATGCTCATGGGGCGACTCAAAGGATCGGGAGGTCAGGCTCGCTGACTTGGTTGATGCATGCCATTGCATCCCAATTCTGGGGATCAATGCTCATGATGTCAATCACAGGATTGCATGATCCAGACTCGTTTATTTACAGATAGGCTGGAGTGTGGTGTTAAACAACAGTCCAAGCAAACAAGCTATCTGGAACAGAAGCTGTTTGCGAGCCTTGGTCGTCCTTTAGTTGCTTTTCTTAGTCGAGCTGGATCCTATGACCGTTTGTTAGAATCCCTGACCCTCATTTAATCTTTGGTACGCTCATTCACTCACTCACTCGGCCCGTGTAGGTTCCGGGGTAGAAAGGGTCTTCAGCAACCAATACTTGCCGTAAGAAGCGACTATGCTTGTAAGAGGCGACTAACGGGATTGGGTGGCCAGGCTAACCGACTTGGTTGATGTCATCGTATCCAAATTGTGTGGATCGATGCTCATGATATCAGTCACTGGATTGTCTGGTCCAGACTGGATTATTTACAGACCGATGTCATATAGCTGGAATATTGCTGAGTTAGGGGGTAAACAGCAAACAAAAAACAAACACTCACTGTCTGGAATGTTCCTGAAGACAGTATGCTACGAACGCTTTTGTGACGTTGTTGTAAAAGTTCACACAGAGTGTAGCTGTCACACATATATTTGTATACATAAACATGTAAGGATGTTCACCTTTATCAAAATAGTGAGCGAGTGGGTTTGGTTTAACGCCGCTTTCAACAATATTATATCGCGGCGTGTCAGCTTAATTTGGGAGGAAAACCCGAAGTGATGCAGGTCTCAGACGTTTACCACTTCGGTGAAACCCACGAGCACGGGTATGGTGCTGACAAACCTAGAAACATAATCGGGGCGAACTAGGATTCCAACCCACAATCATACATGTAGGTTTCTGGCGAGCCCAAGGGACGCAACTCTGCACAGCGAATCTCGGCGCCTTAGACGACTGGACCACCCGTGCCCCCTTGATACATACGAGTTCAAAAGGAGACGACAAATTCGATTTCGAATTCAAATACCCCAAATACTTTAACAATAATGGAAACACAAGGTATACTCATCAGACTAACATACATATGTTATGATCGAATGTATAATACAGACGTGTCGAGAAAACCGCGAGATAACATATGATGTTTTATCGAAAAAGAAATTACCGTTTAACAATAAATATCTTGAAACATGAAAAACAGAAACCAAAGCGATGAGGACGGTACTATAAAGAAGAAATACACATTCAAAATGAAAGTGTCCATCTTGTCCTCTTGGTGTTACGGACTAGTCATTATTTGACCAGTTCGGTACGAAACGAAATGATATCAAAGTTAGATTATGTCTTAACTGAACAGATGCAGATTGCGTGTCCTGACCGTCGGTGTGTTCAATCTATGCAGACACTACAATGTTCACAGGTGATCTTACCAGCAAGCGGTATGGCCAGGCACAGGATTAATGTTTTCAACATGGTGACCATTAGTTTCTAAGAAGGCGGCTGGGAGGTGATAAGACGAGAATGCTGGCCCTTGAATCAGGGAGATAAGAACTGAAAGTGTCTGAGCAGCAGTTTACTCTGTGAGGACTAAACTTTGTCGACACCAATGAGTTCAATCTATTTCTGTAATGTTGTGATAACCTTGTCGACACTACAGGACTTATATATTTCTGTTGTGACATTATGACGTTGTCGATACTAGAGCACTTATATATTTATGTAATGGTAATATTATTTTCTCGAAACGGAAGAGCTCAAATATGTCTGAAATCACACAATTATGTTGTCGACACTGAAAAGCGCATATATGTTTGAAATGACATTATTATGTTGTTTATACTGAGGGCTACAATTTTTTCTGTAACGACATATTGTGTAAGCTCTACCGAGGGGCTCTATTGTTAGGTGTCGATTCCCGAATTGAAACAAAATGTTTAAAGTGAATGAGTGAGTATGGCTTTACGCCGCTTTCAGCAATATTCAAGTAAAATTAATATCACGGCGGGGGACACCAAAAATGGGCTTCACACATTGTACCCTTGTCGGGAATAGAACCAGGGTCTTCGGCGTGACGAGCAAACGCTTTAACCCCTATACAATCAACAATTGTATTACACAATTAACTCGGTTTACACAGCAATGGCAGTATGCAATAGAGTGGTAGTGCAATACTCAATGGCTGTATCAAATGCAAATATGATGACACTGGTGATATAAACAAGTTCAGTGATAATAATATTCACCTATCCGCAACAGGGGTCAAGCTTCCGAGATAGGCGTAGGCTTTTAATCCGAGATGATAAGTGATCTTCATAAAACGCTGGTCTTATTGTAATGTCAGATGAAATGCGAGATGAGATGTGAAAGATGAGACAGGCACGCACCCCGTCCACTTTAAAAGTCTAACTCGTCTCCAGTACTTTCCACACAGTGCTAGACCAGTCCAGCTTCAGTGAAACATCACAGAATATTCCCCATGTTTCCATAACGCTTGACATCTATCCATTCTATGCCGGAAGTTTACAGATAGTTCGAGCATCTAAATATAATAACGTCCCCGCCGATGCTTACAATGAATAATACTACATTCCTAACAACTAATCATTGTCGTAAAACAATGCAGTGAACTTATACTGAATCTCAACAGAAATTAGGTAATATAGTTACAACCATTGTTTAACGATAAATTACACTGCCATATAACACTATATACTTCTGTAATGGCATTAGTATGCAGTTTATACTGAGGAACTAAATATATGATTGTAATGACATTATAACCTTGTCATTACTGAAGAACTCAAATATTTCTGTAAGGACATTATTGTGTTGTGTGGCAAAACTTTTAGGACAGAAAATATGACATATCACGAAAATGTATTTCAAGTTATAGGATAACTAACTGCGACGTCAAATTCATTTTTTGTGGTTAAATCTACAGGTAACCTAGCTCTACATTGAAAACAGAACGTTTATTTGCTAATTATACCTGCTCCGTAATTGACAGAAGCTACATACACGTAAAAGCAAGCCTGATTGACCTGCTCGATATATGATACCGATAAATGCGGGTAGATTGATAAATATATTGACGATAGAAATCAACAGTAGTGTTACGAGTTTATTCCCAAGTCGAAACGCTGAGATTTACACCAAATTCAGGACGTACAAAACTAAATTGTGAAATCAGTAAATAACCACACAAATTCAATGAATAAAATACAAACTACAGTAAACTACGGTTATAACGAAAACGCTTATAACGAGCTGACGGATATAACGAAATTATTTTTTGGTCCCGAACATTTCCTGTATATATGCTGTATATATGCTTATAACGCCCTTTTGAGTTCGTTTTAACCGTAGTTTACTGTATATTGAAACTAACGGGGTAAGGTTTCCAATCATAAAATGCAAAACAGTGGTTCAAAATATATGGCAGCAGCAATGTATAGCAGCCCTTTTATTAGTTAGTGCACTCATAAATGTCGCAGTCAAGTGACTTGAATGAGGCACGTATTCCGTTCTGATTCCGGGAAACAATGTTGGAACCAGGCATAAAAGTCGGCGTTTTCAGACAGGTATCCTGTCCGCATTAGGCAAGTGGATAAGGCGCAGAAGACGTCAAATCACCCTCATCTCGCTCCTATAGAGGTTGGTTTGTTGGTATGTTGTTTTACGGCACACTCAGCAATATTCCAGCAATATGACGGCGGTCTGTAAATAATCGAGTCTGGACCAGACAATCCAGTGACTGAAATCATGAGCATCGATCCACGCAATTGGGATCGATGACATGCATCAACCAAGTCAGCGAGCCTGACCACCCGATCCCGTTAGTCGCCTCTTACGACAAGTATAGTCGACTTTTATGGCAAGCATGGGTTGCTGAAGTATATAGAGGTACATCCAGCCTTTTAGAAGCTTCCAGACAGCTACGTGAGTGACAAGTTGTTTGGGGGGTTTTACCCGGTCGTGAACTGTACTATCAGCGGCATCATGACGTGGCCCAGTAAAAGGATAGCGTAGTGGTGATGGTCTTAGACGCTGTCACATTTGATGAAAACGACGAGGACAGATATATGGTGCTAACAAACCAAGATCATTATCAGGACGAGAACCTGGATGAAAATCCAGGACCCAATATTCTGACGCGCTTGAGCAACGCAACTGTGCAAAAAGAGATATAACAAACAGAATGATAACGAGAATGGTAGAATGTTGATATAAATATTTTGTAGAATGATATTATAGCAGAATAAAACATAGAGAGAAATATCATGCTCGAATGATAATCAAAAATACAATGAGCGATACAATACATATTCTCGAAAATTATAATTTTACTTAATATTTCCGTGAATCATAGGTAATCACCACATCAAATATGATAAATAGACACTACACAATCATTAATAATACAATCGTATTTTCATTTCAGAATCTTTTTACAGTACCATATCCTACCCTTTGAATACCACCATTTCTAAATACAGAAATATTTTATTTATCTATTTGAGCCTCATGTATCACACAAACACACGCACCCCCAGATGGAAAGTCAAACGCATGTATGATTATAGAACAATAGACAGAACAACGGACATATATAAAGATGGATAAATGTACAGAATGATCGATTATTGATATATTACACTGGAACTAATCCTCAGTCAGCTTAACAAATGCCAGACAGGAGGAACGTGATGAGCATGTCATCATATGATGGACTGCATTGTCACTTTCACAGCTGAGTGATCTTTTATCATAACATCCAAAAGGAAACATATTTCAGTCACTTGTTGACGTGCAAACTATTTGTTCTTGACAACCACTGTCTGACAGAACTCTTTCAAAGAGCCTGTCTAACTCGAGATCGTCATTTGATTGGCATGTTTTGCGACAGCGCATAGGAAAGAGAGTTATTTCCAGGAGGATATAACGGAATGTCAATGAAAGACACTGTAGCTAACACTGGGATGAAAGTCATGGCGGAACAAACGTTTTATGTAAATTCTAACCTTTTTCAGATAATATCTTTTTTGGTAATCGGCAATAGCTTGATATTTTCCCCAGTGAGTGAGAGAGTGAGTATGGTTTTACGCCGCTTTTAGCAATATTCCAGCGAGGGACACCAGAACTAGGCTTCACACATTGTACCCATGTCGGGAATCGAACCCGGGTCTTCGGCGTGACGAGCGAACGCTTTAACCACTAGGCTACCCGACCGCCCCTTCCCCAGTGAGAGGGCAATGAATCTGATGTTGGAGTATGTGCATGCGGGCACATTATCGAGCTCTGGTTTGTCAAACTTCCGCAATCAAGACCGCCTACGTGGTCTAGTGGCAGAGCGGAAAGTCGGCGGCGGCGTCATACAAAAAGACGTTTAAATATGGTACTTGTTGTTACCCTGCCTGCCTGGCATTACGGGCTAAAACAAGGACTGGTCAAAACCGCTTCCCTCACGATGCTACATATACCATATTACTTCCCTCACGATACTAAACGTACCATATCACCTCCCTCACGATACAATACCGCTTCTCTCACGAAACTATATGTACAATTTCACTTCCCTCACGATACTATACGTACCATATCACTTCCCTCACGATACAATACGTACCATATCACTTACCTCACGATACTATACGTACAATTTCACTTCCCTCAGGATACAATACGTACAAGATCACTTCCCTCACGATACAATACGTGCCATATCACTTCCCTCACGATACAATACGTACCATATCACTTACCTCACGATACTATACGTACAATTTCACTTCCCTCAGGATACAATACGTACAAGATCACTTCCCTCACGATACAATGCGTACCATATCACTTCCCTCACGATACAATACGTACAATATTCCGTCACTCACGATACAATACGTACAAGATCACTTCACTCACGATACAATACGTACCATATCACTTCCCTCACGATACAATACGTACAATATCACTTCCCTCACGATACAATGCGTACAATACCGCTTCCCTCACGATACATTACGTACAAGATCACTTCCCTCACGATACAGTACGTACAATATCACTTCCCTCAGGATACAATACGTACAATATCACTTGCCTCAGGATACAATACGTACAAAACCGCTTCCCTCACGATACATTACGTACAAGATCACTTCCCTCACGATACAATACGTACAATATCACTTCCCCCAGGATACAATACGTACTATATCACTTCCCTCAGGATACAATACGTACAATACCGCTTCCCTCACGATACATTACGTACAAGATCACTTCCCTCACGATACAACACGTACAATATCACTTCCCTCACGATACAGTACGTACCATATCACTTCCCCCACGATACAATACCGCTTCCCTCACGATACTACACTTACAATATCACTTCCATCTTCATGCATCACCCACCATTAAAGCATACATAACATAGAGCTGACTGCGGCATCATCAAGGTATACTTTCTTCAAACATGAACATTTCCACTGAAAATTAATTCTGTTTGGTACAGTGGTCGTAAAGCCATTTCAACCAGTAAAATACATTCACTGTTCCAGGAGGCACGGGTGGACTAGACGTTTAAGGCGTCGCGGTTCGCTGTGAAGAGTTGCGTCCCTTGGGCATGCCAGAAACCTATGATTGTGGGTTCGAATCCCGGTTCGCCCAGATTATGTTTCTAGGTTTGTCAGCACCATACCCGTGCTCGTGGGTTCCACCGAAGTGGTAAACGTCTGAGACCTGCATCACTCCGGGCTTTCCTCCCACATTAAGCTGACACGCCGTGATATAACTGAAATACTGTTAAAAGCGGCGTTAAACCCAACTCACTCACTCATTCGCTGTTCCAAAACACATTCACTGATATATTGTCACTACAACTTTTCCTTTTATTTGAGTATATTTTGTATGTAAAATCAATGACCTGATTGGATTTTACATTACATATTCATTTCTGTTTCCCAGCTTCTTCTTTCATTTTAAAGGATCCATTTTCATAATTAAATCATAAAATTGAGATAATTAAATATACGTTGTAATCTGAAGCATGTTTACAGTAAACAAGGAAACAAGAGGAAATAATAGTGGAGAATCACTTCTGTACATACAGAGCAATTGCATATGGGGCGCGACCAGTTCAGAAGTGTGAGTGAGTTGGGTTTAATGCCGCTTTTAAAAGCATTACAGCTTAATGTGAGAGGAAAACCCGAAGTGATGCAGGTCTCAGACGTTTACCACTTCGGTGAAACCCACAAGCACGGGTATGGTGCTGACAAACCTAGAAACATAATCGGGGCAAAACACAATCATAGGTTACTGGCGTGCCGAAGGGACGCAACTCTGCACAGCGAATCGCGGCGCCTTAGACGACTGGGCCACCCGTGCCCCGAAATCAGAAGAAGCCTGTAGGAATCTCTATTTGATTTAGTGTTCCCAAAATCATCCGGCAGACAGTTCCAGATTCTAGTGGCCTCATAAGCATATGAATTTAACCCGAACTTAGAAGATGTTGCCAGGTGAATTTCTACTTTATGTTCCTACCTGAGGAAGTAGGTCGGCTGCTTTAAACCTATCAAATTTTGAATAAGCGTGAGTGAGATTTTTTTTAAAAATGTGAACTTCTGTGCTATGTCCTTCTTAAAAAGGTAAAGGTGTCCAGCTAGAGCAATAATTGTTGCAATATACAGGTTAAAGCATCACCAAAATAACTACTTTAATTTGTGCTGACGCTTTCTTGGTTATGTATTGACAGTAATCACACTTCAGACAAACTGCCTGCACCCAAGCGTACTGGCATGAATTAGAGGTATTAGCATAATACTCACAAATCTGGATATTCGTGACAAAGACGAGCATAATTCATAACTGACAATGTGCGTCTCCTATAATAGTTACTTCAGCTATCAATCACCCCACCCTTGTTTCCGTCACTTCAGCCAGTCAAAAACCAGTTGATCGTTGATCTGTCGAGCAGAAGTGTGACTGTCACGCAAAACATACTTTGAGGGGCTGCCTGTGGTGAGTGTGCATCCTGTTGCTGTGTTCTCGTGTTCCATGTTCCATTTGTCGTGTTACATTTTTAATTGTTTATCAAACTTTCAGGTGTAGCTATCTTGGTGAGACATGAAGTATATTTCCTCGTGCGTTGTGAAATTAGAATTGGAATGAGAATATTTTTCTTTCTGAAACGTATTTTTATTCCCCGGGGTAGAATAGATTCAGGCGACACTGCTACTCGTATAAGGCGACTTAATTGAATCGGATGGTCGGGCTCTGTGACTTTGTGTCCCCGATGGCGTGGACGATTGCTAATGTTTTCAGTCACTCTTTTTTATCTTTATTATTCTCTGGCGTTGACTTTTTATAGTGTACTATAATCTTTAAAGTAAAGGATACTCTAAAATAACTTGAACTTTCCAAAATTGTAAGAGATATTCATTTCTAGTAATAGTTGTATAATCATAATGGTCGAACTGGGAACACATTATTACCGGTAGTGTAACAGTAAATGTTATGACCGCCAACGATCCTGAAGAACGATGGGGGTAAGATGGGAAATTTCAAAGTTGACTTTTTGTGGTTGAGTAGTTTGAAAATACCGCCACGCTTTGTCCAACATTTATTCACTCGACCATACTGGGTATGATTCTACCAATGGCAATTGGAGGGAGTCTGTCCAGCTCCTCTTGCAGCGCCTGGCAATGTTCAGCCATAGTGGCCGGTGGCATGTAACGTTAACGCACACATCTCCATATCAAAGGGGGAAAGGTCTGGGTTCATTTCTGGCCATGGCCTCTATGGATGTCGTCGCCCTGAAAGACAAAACGTCTACCCACACGCCTTGCAAACGGGACAATAAAGGGTTTCCATATGTTGCGCTGATAGTACTGTCCAGTGACCCTTCCAAGCACAGTATGGAGTGGGGTTCGCTCAGTCATTGTGATGCCAACCCACACCATAACCGATCCAGCGCCAAATCTTTCATGAAGCAAATTGGAACTCACCTGAAAACATGGTACATCGCTAGCGACGATTACCCCAGTTTTGACCTTGTTTCAACCTTGACGCTTTTGGCAATTTGACGATTTGTAAATGGCGGCCGTCGAGTATTGAGATGAGCTGGTTGTAGCCTTCTGAAAGGTTGCATCAATTTGATTTGCTGTTTGGGATCTATTTCGTAGAGCCTGCTTTCGGATCAATCGAACCTGTTCTCTTCCCGTTGACCTTGAACGCCTTGAACGGGATCGATCGTCAACAATTTGGGTTTGTTGATACCCGTTCCATAGTTTCCTAACCACAGACTGTGAAACATTCAACTTATTGGTAACTGCACACAAACGTCTGCCAGTTACCAGCATACCAATATCCCGAAGACGCTCCGCGCGAAGACGTCTCGAAGACGCTCCCGAAGACGCCGCAACACTAGGTCATACACAAACAATGAATGGAATCAAATAAATCACAATTCTTTGGTAAGCAGCATCAAGAAGACTGACAGAAATAATGGTACATTAAATGGTACATAAATCGACCTTCCTTGAAAGTCAAAACCTGGAGTGACACCCTAAGCACGCACCAATCACAGCCCAGGACACATCAGTCAGGACATCGATTGCAAACTGCAACTCAGCTTAGGAACCGGTTGCGACAGGCAAATGGTGTGAGAGTACATGCTCAGAAGGTGCGAAATCGTCTGCACAGGTGGCATGTGCGTGCACGACTTCCAGTTGTCATCCAACAACTTACTGCGTGCCATTTGAATTAGAGGCGTCACTGACGTAAAGTAATGTTTTCTCATTCACGACTTCCATGGCCGACGCCAACGTCGTACAGCATGATCGTTGCGGGGGCAGTTCCTTAACGGTTTGGGGTGGTATCACAATGACTGGCCGAACAGAGTCACTGGTCAATACTGTGGGGACAATTTGTTCAACGTGTTTGGTAACGTTTCATCTTTCACGATGATAATGTACGTGCCCATCGTGCAAAGGTGGTAACCCAATTCCTCCAACAGCACAACATGCATGTCCTCCCCCCCCCCCCCCCCCCCACCCGACTTATTAGAAGCATGCCTCGAAACATTCGTGCATGTCTGGCAAACGAATGTGGTCTATCCCAATATTAGTGACGTTGGCTAAGAAATGAGACCTCTTTAACGACCTAGTGCACCACCATCTCATGATACCAACGATGAGAACCCTTTAGATCTGATTGCCTACTCTCCAGCAGATATGATCATATCAGTGAGTGAGTGAGTTGGGTTTGACGCCGCTTTTAACAGTTTTCTAGTTATATCACGGCGTGTCAGCTTAATGTGGGAGGAAAGCCCGAAGTGATGCAGGTCTCAGACGTTTACCACTTCGGTGGAACCCACGAGCACGGGTATGGTGCTGACAAACCTAGAAACATAATTTGGGCGAACCGGGATTCGAACCCACAATCCTAGGTTTCTGGCGTGCCCAAGGGACGCAACTCTGCACAGCGAATCGCGGCGCCTTAGACGACAGAGCCACCCGTGTCCCTTGATCATATCATTTCTATTTGTCAATACCATTTAGATCAGAAGATATGTCTTGATGATTCCCAATATCCTCTACATTTTACATTTCTACATAGTATATATGATGAGTCAAACAAGCGGTTGCCTGGATTAACATGGCATCACGCCATTTCCAGTATGTCTGGTGTCGTCACTGATTTTCACTTACCCATTCATATAAATTTCACCATCATGCCTATTATGGCAATGGAATCTGAATCGGCAGATTTGCGTTGACGTTTAATCTTTATTATATAATAAGTCAGGTCGTTCATATTCATACTGTCACCTATTTTGACCCACTGATCATTTGGCGTCATATTCTCAGGAGAATTCTTTCCCAGTATCGACATAAATGTCATTTTGATTCACCTATTTTTAACTATTATGATTTTAATCTTATAAAAAAGGTTTCTGGACAAACCCGTAATAGTTGCGTCTATACTACGCATACTAGATGAATACTAAATTTCTGTAACATGTGCGTAGTATGGGCTTGTACACTAAATAGTAAACCAATTATGCCTATAAGGAGTACTAAGGGAACTCAAGACATTATTCTTTGTCCATTAACACATGTGTTAACCTCGTATCATCACATAAGGAAGAGAATATATGGATGTCAACTTCTTTATTATGAGGACCACAACGTTTCGGAGTATATGCTTACTCCTTCATTCACCTAATGAAGGAGTGAGCATATACTCCGAAACGTTGTGTTCCTTTCAAAGACCTCGTGTCATCACGTTTCGATACTGAAGCGTTAACACGTGCTCATGATATAGTAGGAATCGTACAATGGATTCTGCTTTCAGCAGATATTTCTTATGATTATGGAAATGTTTTGGTCACTTTTCTTTCAATATATTCTCCATCCGTAAATCCTAATAGTTGCAAAGAAAATTAAAATATCAAATTTACAATGGTTTGATGCATCAAAATTCAGTTACATCCTCACTCGATTTATCAGATAGGAACCTTCATATGTGGAGTTTTTCAATACATAATTACATAATAAACGTAAATCCACCTTTTCACTCTTGCCTTGTCTTTGTTTTTAAAAAAACCAAGCCTCAAAACAAAATAACTTTAAACAGAAAGGAAGAACATTTCCTACCCTTTTAGCTTATCGGCTGGGCAAACTGATATATTGTAAGATTGCGTAAGTTACGGTGTCCACGAAGAACCTCAACACTTCTCTTCTCCTTTGTATATGTAACAGGGGGCACGGGTGGCCCAGTCGTCTAAGGCGCCGCGATTCGCTGTGCAGAGTTGCGTCCCTTGGGCACGCCAGAAACCTATGATTGTGGGTTCGAATCCCGGTTCGCCCAAATTATGTTTCTAGGTTTGTCAGCACCATACCAGTGCTCGTGGGTTTCACCGAAGTGATAAACGTCTGGGACCTGCATCACTTCGGGCTTTCCTCCCACATTAAGCTGACACGCCGCGATATAACTGGAATACTGTTAAAAGCGGCGTTAAACCCAACTCACTCACTCACTAATTGTATATGTAACAAGTTACTTTACATATAAATTATAATGACACGGTTGTCTCTAAATGAAATAGCAAATGCATGCTGCTAAGCTACATTATCAGTTATACAACTTCATTTGGACACCATGTAACTAGCGCAAATCAATCAGATGTGGGTACAAAATGCCCCGTTTTCTCTGAACATTGTGCACACTTCTTGTGCACATTTCATAGTTAGATGAATGCATATCTAAGTTTGGCCAGAGCAGCTTTAATGAGCCTTTCTATGCACTTTTATTTTGGGATGCCATTGGTACACGTTTTGGGACCAGTATTAAAATAGTGCAGGTATAATGTGTCTAAGTTTTGTCCCAGTGTTAAGAGATTATGTTAGATTCATACTTGTCCTCGTTATTCGGGGTTGAAGGGTTGCATATTATAATCGTCATCACATGGTATTCGATGTTTTGCATTCATACTTTTTGTCAGAGATCCTGACTTTCAAGATGCTGATTTTGGGGGTTTTGGTCGTGATTGCGGTGGCTGGGACTGGATTTGATGCCGGTGAGTATTTGGAAACTATTGTAAGCAAGCAAATAAATAAATGTATCATGAAAATAGTTCCTTTTGAAGTCCAAGAAATTCAACTGGGTGATTGTCCTAGATTCTATGGGTGGCCCTCTGGTTCAAGACGTCACAGTTCGCTTGAGCATTTCCACTGAAACAAAACGCCGCTATTTTATGACATACTGTTCAAAGCTACAGTCAAACCATTGATTCATTCCTGAATATGGGAATATTTTTAAGCGTTTTAAAAGTTTTAAAAGCGTTATCGGCCAATATGTACATGAAATGTTATATAAAACGTAAGGAAAAGTTAAGTGCGTAAAGGTTTATCAATTTAACAATTTCATTTTAAACTGTAAGTCATCTTATAAATATGCTTCTTATAACACGTTAAAGAACACCCGATTCCTTCATATTACTTTTGTTTAACTGCGTCCAATGACAGATTAACTATTGTAATATGAAAGAATCGTGTGTTCTTAAGCTTCCTTGAGTAGTATATAATGTATGATTATTGTTCATAATAGCTACTGCTGATTGCGAACGAGGTATGATAATAACAATTTCTTGTAAACTATAATTTAAAACAAATGTTATATTTGGGATTACACTGTCTGAATAAAGTACAAATTCTCGTGCTTTTGGCGGTTGTGTGCCATGGGGGATTCGAACTCACTCCCGCAGAGTAATGCACCTAATCGCCAGCGACCTTATCCCAAATATATCATTTCTTACATTTGACCACTTTCTGAAAGGCATTGTGTATTAATATAATGTAAAAATTGAACATTGAGAGACACTTGTGGTTGTTATGAGATATATGGAACCGGTTGAAACGACAAAAAGGTTCTGACACGTTTTGTTCTTTCTGACACTAGTAAAAGCTCAAAATCCTGCTCCCGCTGCAAAGAAAGCTGCTGTTGCAACTGCTCCTACTGCTGCACCGGCCACAGGACAACAACTGCCGATCTACCGCCCTAACCTGCCGACAGGAAGCTCCGCAGGTGCCTCCGCTGGTGCCTCCGCGGGTACCTCCGCGGGTACCTCCGCAGTTAACTCCGCAGTTAATGCCGGGAGGACAAATCCCCAGCTTGGCCACCCAAGAAGGAGACTGTACAATGGAATTAACCCCTTGTTACTTGACCCTGATCTCATTTACCCGGATCACCTCGTCGATTACTCACTGGGTCATCTTGGGCATCTGAATCCTCTGGGGCATCTGAATCCTCTTGGGCAGCTGGATCCTCTTGGGCATCTGAATCCCCTTGGGCATCTGAATCCCCTTGGGCAACTGGATCCCCTTGCTCCGGGTTCACATCTGCCACCTTTGGCATCTCTTGGAATTGCTGAAGCAGTCTATGGCGACATGTACCCATCCAGCGATTACCTCCTTCAACAGGCCTTGTTGCGTCGCACCTTAGGTACATTCTATCACACTTTGATTCATGCTTTTAGTTTGCTTGTAGTTTTACGCCGCACTCTGCAATGTTTCAGCTGTATGACGGCGGTATGTAGATAATCGAGTCTGTACCAGACAGAGAAGTGAATGGCATCGTGAACAGGCATCAACCAAGTCAGCGAGTCTGACCACCCGATGCCGTTTGTCGCCTCTTGCGACAAGCATGGGCTGCTGAAGACAAGTTCTAACCTGGGTCTTCACAGGGACATTGGTTAATGCAATGTAAATGGTCTTAGATATATAAGAAGTAATATTTTTAGGTTTTATTTTCATTTAGATACATATTCTTGTCCCTGTAGGGATTCTGGTGTAGGATAAGCACCCAGTTAACTATGCTTGCCTGACTAAAAGGGTTCAGGTGATCTGGCGCATTTGTTTTAGAATTGACTTCAATATATTTTGCGTTTATGGAAGAATAGGTATATGTGAGCACTGTGTAAATACGTGTAGCGCATTTACGCAAAGAGTTCACACCGATTTTTATGTTCGTAACTCCATAAACGCAAAAACATATTGAAATCAATTCTTATAAATACATACGTCAACAATAATAACTGCATAGACTGCTGAAAAACTCCGCTAAATGGCGTGGCATTTTCTTCGGTTATGGAAACATAAACGCAAACAAGTTTACTTGAGTGAGTGAGTGAGTGAGTTGGGTTTAACGCCGCTTTTAACAGTATTCCAGTTATATCGCGGCGTGTCAGCTTAATGTGGGAGGCAAGCCCGAAGTGATGCAGGTCTCAGACGTTTACCACTTCGGTGAAACCCACGAGCACGGGTATGGTGCTGACAAACCTAGAAACATAATCGGGGCGAAGTGGGATTCGAACCCACAATCATAGGTTTCTGGCGTGCCCAAGGGACGCAACACCGAATCGCGGCGCCTTAGACGACTGGGCCACTCGTGCCCCCGCTTGGATAGTAAATCAAATGACACGGAATCATTCACAATTTCTGGGCCTTTTCAAATATAACGAGACACGAATATGACCTCCGTGAGGACCTATACTATGATACAGTCGAAACTTGTTGTGTCGAACGCGTGGTGACCTGGAAAAAAGTTCGAGTTATCCGAGATTCGAGTCATCAAAAATCGTACACTACACAAATGTCATGCTTCTTCCTTAAAAGTTGATTTTTTTATGTATAAAATACTGAACCGTACATAGACGAAATGACAGCAGAAACACATCCATTAACCATTGTGACGTAGGAAACCTATAACTTTCATCCCCTGCTTATATCTGTCACATAACAATGCATTACTGGCGTCCAATCTGTCAACCGAAATACTTGTCGGTTTGAATGCAAGTTGAACTGCACGAAGTCCTTGTCATCGCGTCCGTTCCGATTAAATAACGTCCATCACACTGCCTTAACCCGTGACAGCCCTTGTCATACTGATCGTAACTTTTGTGACTGATGTATTGTTTTTGTTGCAATACGAGTGTCGCCAGAGACATATATTGCTATCAGCTTCACAGTCGCGACTGGGAAGAGACATAAAAGGTGGTGCACTAAAAATACTAAATGCCAGCTGCGGTTTCTACCCTATATTAAATGTTCTTTATGTTGAAAACAAAATGATAAGTATAGAAGTACAGACAAGATATGTATGGCGGCTTCTTATTCTATTATGATGCGACGTTTCGGTATAGATCCTTATACGGTCGTCACTCTTGCCTGACAAGGTATAATGGTCTTTAATGGCACGTCGCATCATAATAGAATAAAGAAGTTGTCATCCATAAAATATCTTGTCTTTACTGTTACTTACCAACTTCTTAAAATGCCAGTAAAACCTAATGATAAGTATGCTTAAAAAAAGCTGGATCCGCGTGCTCCAGGGACATATGGACAGTAGATACAGACAGTCGAGTGAAGAATCACCGCTTCTTACTACAGTTGCTTTTTTGCCTTCATGTTGTGTGCTACTGAGACACATTTTGTTAATGCTGTTGCTTGATGTGGTTTATGTTTAGACAAATGAGACATACATGTAGCTGTTACTATTGTCGTCAAATGTGCGTTTCGGTTGCTGGCTACTGAGCCGCCTCTGGTTGCCACATTTGCCAGATATGCATTAGGTTGCTGGCTACTGAGCCGCCTCTGGTTGCCACATTTGGCAGATATGCATTAGGTTGCTGGCTACTGGGCCGCCTCTTGTTGCCACATTTGCCAGATATGCATTAGGTTGCTGGCTACTGAGACAACTCTTGTTGCCACATTTGCCAGATATGCATAAGGTTGCTGGCTACTGGGACACCTCTTGTTGCCACATTTGCCAGATATGCATTAGGTTGCTGGCTACTGGGACACCTCTTGTTGCCACATTTGCCAGATATGCATAAGGTTGCTGGCTACTGAGCCGCCTCTTGTTGCCACATTTGCCAGATATGCATTAGGTTGCTGGCTACTGAGCCGCCTCTTGTTGCCACATTTGCCACATTTGCCAGATATGCATAAGGTTGCTGGCTACTGGGACAACTCTTGTTGCCACATTTGCCAGATATGCATAAGGTTGCTGGCTACTGAGACAACTCTTGTTGCCACATTTGCCAGATATGCATTAGGTTGCTGGCTACTGAGCCGCCTCTTGTTGCCACATTTGCCAGATATGCATTAGGTTGCTGGCTACTGAGCCGCCTCTTGTTGCCACATTTGCCAGATATGCATAAGGTTGCTGGCTACTGGGACACCTCTTGTTGCCACATTTGCCAGATATGCATAAGGTTGCTGGCTACTGGGACACCTACTGTTAATGAACTTACAAGATATGCGTTAGGCTGCAGGCATAAAGCTTGTTATTACATTTGCCAGTAATGCGTCAGAGTGTAGACTACGGTAACATATCTGCGGTAATCGTATTTCTGTCCGCACCCTGTAAATGATTTTGATGTTGACTTGTCGCTTCACAGTGGGCTGTTTAACATTTTTTTCCAGAGTGACAATAACAAAATCATATATATGGAGCGGCACAAGGATACGGTTACTGCAGATAACCGAGAAAGCTGTTAAGAGTTGACGGTTCAGTTGTAGGCATCTCAGACTTGTAAGATGCAGTCCTGCACATGAAGTGCTAATCATTCGTTGCAAGTTACATACGTATCTCTGAATCATATATGTTCGTGTCACCAGGAGCACCACTACCGGAAACAGCTGCAGCAGCATCAACAACAGGTGCAGGAGCTTCCGCGACCTCTGGAGCCACAGGCGCGAGCTACAGTAAGCTTAGTGGTCCATTCATTAAATTTTCAGAGCTATTTTGCCCTTTTATGGAATCTGTTTCGGCTGATCATCTACACTGGTTATTCTCTAGCACTGACAATTACCATCATCACCAAATACAAACTGTTTTAACCGATTTTGAAATCCAATGAATGTTCCTTTAACCAATGTTTGTGATAACGAGTTAAAATTTGTGTGTGAGCCGTGGAAAACAGAGAGCGGGAAGCGTTTGTCTGTCCCAGTAAATCGTCGACATGGCCCGCTGCTCACATTGTTAATATTCGCATTGGTGTTGCTGTAGCATGGATTACTACAGACATACATTCACAGGGTCTCCCCCGTGGTGATTCCGGATCAGAATACGTCCTTAGTACACAATGGTGGCCAGACTCATGACTGAAAGTGTGGCATCTCCATCAACATTGTGAAAGCACTGGTTTGCCCGATGATATAACTTGGAGTGAGTGAGTGAGTTGGGTTTAACGCCGCTTTTAACAGTATTCCAGTTATATCGCGGCGTGTCAGCTTAATGTGGGAGGAAAGCCCGAAGTGATGCAGGTCTCAGACGTTTACCACTTTGGTGAAACCCACGAGCACGGGTATGGTGCAGACAAACCTAGAAACATAATCTGGGCGAACCGGGATTCGAACCGACAATCATAGTGTTCTGGCGTGCCTAAGGGAGGCTATTCTGCACAGCGAATCGCGGCGCCTTAGACGACTGGGCCACCCGTGCCCCCCATATAACTTGGAAGATTTCTCGCTGTGTCGTAAAGCAAGAGAAAAACAGGCAATGAGTGGTCACAGACACTCTGCGACACTATGGCGATTACACATTATATTAAGTGCATGATTTATGCATTCATAACTTACAGTACAGTACAGTGTACAGTCGTGTTTATATTGACAAGTTTCTCTGATTTTATTTTTTTCAAAGGGCAGGTGTATCGATTGATGTTTATGGCAGTGGAAAGCAGATAAACATTGCACTTGATTCAATATTCCATTTCTGATAATATAACCTTGTTTCCTACAGACGGAGGTTATGCCCCATACGACCCCTTCCTTGATCCTTGTAAGTATGACTTAGCGTCAAGTTTATAAATTATATTCAAATTTATTTATATTATCTAACGCTTGTTGTCTCCCCCGTGAGGGCTGGGTTAGAATTGGTCTCCAGCAACTTATGCTTGTCCTAAGAGGCGACTAATGGAATCGGGTGGCCAGGCTCGCTGACTTGGTTAATTTACAGAATGCTTGATTATTGCTGAGTGCGGCTCTAAACAACAAGACCCAGCCAACCAACCAACCAAACAAACAAACACGCAAATATTATGGTTTGTTGATACATGTAACCGACTGCAATTGAATTTTGAGATTTGGCATCAAAATATCATCATTTATCAGACAGTTTCTTACACATTGATGTATTGTTGTATTCATTTATGAGAAAGATTAAAATAAACAATAATGATATTTGTCTCGATCACGTTTTCTCGCTTATAATTCACCCACAGTTAATCGAGATAGTGAGAGTAATAACGAAATTTGAATTATGGTCTAAACTTCATTCTCTAGTACAAAAGTAAAACTTCTTTAAATGCCATAAATTATAAGACTCGGTCGAATGAGACATGACCTTGCCATCTCGACCAATGAGGAATACCGATACATGATGTCGGCTGATCTGTGAGCATAAGAGAGCTAGATTCTCTTCTGAGAGAGACCCGTGAAGATCCGGGGTAGAATAGGTCTTCAGCAACCCATGCTTGCCACAATAGGCGGCTATGCTTGTCTTAAGAGGCGACTAACGGAATCGGGTGGTCAGGCTCGCTGACTTGGTTGATGCATTTCATCGATCCCAATTGCGAGGAGTCCCGTGAAGATCCGGGATAGAACAGGTCTTCGGCAACCCATGTTTGCCACAAAAGGCGACTATGCTTGTCTTAAGAGGCGACTAACGGGATCGGGTGGTCAGGCTCGCTGACTTGGTTGATGCATGTCATCGATCCCAATTGCGTGGATCGATGCTCATGATATTAATCACTGGCTTGTCTGGTCCAGACTCGATTATTTACAGACCTCCGTCATATAGCTGGAATATTGCTGAGAGCGGCGTTAAACAACAAACAAACCAAACCAAATCTTCTGAGAGAAGAGAAGACATTTTGACAACTACCATTACATACAAAAAAATTATCTCAATATTTACCATATACTGCTTGTTGTTGCAGATCTTCTCGGCTATTAAGAACCATCACCACGACATGAGGATCAGCGATTAAAGTATAAGAATCTAAATCTGGAGCTACAATAAAAAAAAATTACTCATTTGAGTTTGTTCCTTGATACAAAACATATTTACACAGAATGATTCTGCAAATGAAAACCTGATTCTTCATGGTAGCAACTCAAAACAATGCTCATCAGTTTACAGCAGATTCGCCGGGTTATAAATACTCATGGAAAGGCTGAAGGTGAGTGTAGGAAGCATGTATTACGCCACAATCAGCAAAATCCATGCTATATCATGGTTTCTTATTAACAGACTATGGATAGCTGAATAATTATTTAACATGATGTTTGTTGTTTGTTTGTTGTTTAACGCCGCACTCAGCAATATTCCAGCTATATGACGGCGGTCATTTAATAATCTGGAGCAGACAATCCAGTCATTGACATCATGAGCATCGATCCACGCACTTAGGATCGATGACATGCATCAACCCAACCAGCGAGCCTGACCATCCGATCGCGTTAGTCTTCTCTTACGACAAGCATAGTCGCCTTTTATGGCAAGAATGGGTTGCTGAAGACCTATGATTCTACATCACTGTAGCAAGCATCACTGCCTGTCGAGCACGATGGCAAGAACAAAGTCTTATTTTGAAACATCTCTCTCATCAACGCCGTCGGTGTACGATGACAAACCGTAACTCACCGATCTCGACCGCCCGAGCCATTAAGTCTACTATTATCAATTTTAACCTGGAATCCAAACGGGGAGTAATTGAGGTCAACGATGCATGATCGAACGCTCGTTACCATTGTATACGTACATCGGACTGTTGGCAGTTCAGTGACACAGTACACATTTTAGAATATATCTGTCGATCAATGTCTGTAAATGCTTTTTGCGACGGTCTGTTTTATCCATTCTGCCCCATAAGCAGGGTCAAATGAAGTCTTTGAAAGGTTTGAGAAGTAATGCACATAAGAAAGAGAATTTATGGATGCCAACGTCTTTATTATGAGCATGTACCTGATGAAGGAGTAAGCATATACAGTAAACTACGCTTATAACGAACACGCTAAAACGAGCTGACGGATATAACGAGCATATTTTTTGGTCCCGGCCATTTACTGTATATATGCTTATAACGAACTACGGTTATTTCGAACTAATATCAGTGGTCCATTTGAGTTCGTTATAACAGTAGTTTACTGTACTTCCAAACGTTGTAGTCCTCATAATAGTGAGGGAGTTAAACTTTAACGTCACATTCCTCATAATAAAGAACTTGACATCAATAAAATCCATAAAATTGTAGTTTATCCAAGACAAACATGTCAAAGACCTTTGTCTACTTGTTTTTGATCAAAAACTAGTTTTTGAAAAATATGGACTGACTCTAAAAATTGTTTATTCATTGCAAACTGAAAGGCCATAGGCCCATAGTTCAACGTATTTACAAGGTATTGTGTTTCTCCTAGCCAACAATGCATGATGTATGTACAATGAAATATTTTGTAATCAAGTAATATTTGAGGTTGACATGAGTATGCAAAACAAATTGATATTTGGATAAGATGTAAACTTCTTTGGAATATATTTGTTTCTTAATTGAAGATAGAGTTTACACACAAGCATAAATTATACTCATTTACTACAACATTAAGGTTACAAGATGTACAGATATTGTTAGACCTTTTTAATATACCTTTATAGATCTTTAAACCATAATAACCTGCTCTGAACTGCGCTGGCTCGAAGCTATTTTTTAGATATTAGATATTCTTCGAGTATAAATTGTTGTTTAAAGAGAGAATAGGTATATGTACATTTGCTATTTCTTAGCTTTTCTATCCACATTTGCTGAAAACAATCTTTAGCTCTTTGAAGTAATAATGACATAAACATCTTGACATTTCCAACACCCTGATCCATCCATGCGTATCCAAGGCGTAAACTAAAAACATGGACTGCTTTGTTTAATTGAAGAAATTTGCGGAGAGGTTCCGATAACCTGTTATTCGTAATTTTTTTAAGTACGTTCATGTTTTGTAACGGGCGATGTTAACGTATGCGGCGTCATGTACTAGAGCAGTCTACAATGACTTGGCGGTAATTTGTGTCATATTCTGTCAGAATAGGGATAAACAAACTGGAAAGTGATAGATTTATTGGAACAAACAGAAAAGATGGCGAGACCAGCGTTGTGACGGTGTCACACGGGGAATCAGAATTTATAAATGTAGAATTATACCGCTCAAAGTATGCTAAGGATCAAGGTTTGATGAAATCAAAACATCATCCAACAAATAAAGATTGTTTGTTTGTTTGTTGTTTAACGCCGCACTCAGCAATATTCCAGCTATATTACGGCGGTCTGAAAATAATCGAGTCTGAACCAGACAATCCAGTGATTGATATCATGAGCATCGATCCACGCAGTTGGGATCGATGACATGAATTACCCAAGTCAGCGAGCCTGACCACCCGATCCCGTTAGTCGCCTTTTACCAAATATAGATTGAAATATCCTGGTACACAATGATTGGGTAACCCCTATAGGACACAAGAACAATACCCAGTGAGGATTGAAAGAACTGAATGCACTTATCCCCCCTCAGCTTCAAAGACGTCGTTTGGCGACAGACGATTAGGGCATATGCAAAAAAAAAACATGTTCGAAATTGCGTCAACACATCGTCAGGTTGCAAAAGTCTTTGGTGTCAGCCAAAGTGTGATCAGCAGAGCATTGAATCGATACCAGACGTTTGGATCGTGTACGCGAGACCGTAGGCTGGGGCAATCGGATCGGACTTTATCCTCATGGACGATAACGCATGACTTAATCGTGCAAGGGTCGTTGATGCCTACTTAGAGCAGGAGACTACTGTCCGCACGGAGTGGCCAGCTCGCTCACCATACCTCAATCCTATCGAACACATGTGGAACAAGCCTCAGATCGCCCTCTCACGACAGCCTGTTGTTCCGGCAACTGTACAGAAACTCGGCAATGTTCTTCCTGAAGAGTGGGTAAATCTTCCTTTTGCCTCCAGATATTTACTGGGAGCACGAGATGACGGTACCAGGATGTGGATCACGTGGATGACATACGCGCTACTGAGAGTTGTTTTCGACAATGGATTTGTTTTTGTGATATTTTGACGTATTTTGGCTATTTCAACAGATGTACACAATTTGACGTATTACCTTTTAAAGAGACCCTCAGCAAACTTTGAGTAGTATATTTTATTATTAAGGTCAATTTCAAAGTAAACATTGACGAATATCACAGACAGTTTATACCCCAAATTCCAAAACAATTTACCTTTAAGTACATCTAAACAGATCGATGAGTTTTGAATGGGGGAAAATACGAATGATTCATGTACTGTTTCCCTGACGCTATATTTTAAAAGTAACAACATGGCCGAGGACTGGAAACTAGACTTGTTTGTGTTTTCGCCACCGTAAAACATTTAACAATCTTCTCTTTGCTATATGGGGGGCACGGGTGGCCCAGTCGTCTAAGGCGCCGCGATTCGCTTTGCAGAGTTGCGTCCCTTGGGCACGCCAAAAACCTATGATTGTGGGTTCGAATCCCAGTTCGCCCCAATTATGTTTCTAGGTTTGTCAGCACCATACCAGTGCTCGTGGGTTTCACCGAAGTGGTAAACGTCTGAGACCTGCATCACTTCGGGCTTTCCTCCCACATTAAGCTGGCACGCCGTGATATAACTGGAATAATGTTAAAAGCGGCGTTAAACTCAACTCACTCACTCACTCACTCTTTGCTATATACACCAGATCACATCTCTTTTAAACTATGTTAAATCTACTTGAATGACCACCGTTTTTATTGACATATGTTCTATATTTCTCACGAACAAACTATTGTTTCTCCACAATTATCGCAAAGACTATTTCTTTAAAAATTTAAGTTCTATTTTTGTTTTACCCCAGATATTATCTCGTGGTCCCTGATCAAATGCTTATCTTGTCTTTCAACTTAAATGATTTGCCCAGCAACTAAATTCTATACAAATTTAATTCATCATTGTCTGCAATCTGTGCATAGATGCGTTCCTCTCTTTGCGGGTTCGAATCTAAGATTATCCCCGATTTTGAATCTCTGTGTATGCCCTTTCTTTATTTCCTGATTGACATAATCTTTGTCAAATTTGGGGATAGATAACACATATCGCACTTTGAGGAAACCCACGGGCACGGGATGGTGTTATGAAACCTTGAAACATAATCAGGTCGAGCCGGAATCCGAAGCCACGCTGGTTTCTGGCTTTCGAAAGGGACGTAACTCTGCACTGCGAATTGCGGCGCCTTGGACGACAAGGCTACACGTGCCCCCTCATATGGCAAGATTATTGATGGGTCAGGCAACAATCAAACAATTACTTTTGAGAGAGAGAAACATGGGGATATGTGAATATGGCTCATAATATGTATTTATTTCTAAAAGGAGCAAAACCCCTTGGACCATTTTTTATGCTTAAGGGACGGACACACAAGGTTTTGTCTTGATGGTTACGGATAAAAAAAACGTGGAAATAACGTTTCTCGGTTTTGCATGTGGTATGGACACACAAACATTCATAATGGATCAACAAGTGTGTTAAAAACCATGTGTAAAGCAACGAAATTTCGCCAGTACTCTTACAAGCTCCTACCGAACTGATACATATTTGCTTATGTTTTCCTTCCATTATTGGATATATATCTAAATAACTGCATGAAAGTACGTCTCCACATTCCTGTGATATCCACACACACAGTTAAGAGATCCGGGTTAAGTTCTGATGAAGGCTTCAGATAATTATCATATACCATGTTTCCTTTAAAGATTGTTGATATGTTAATCAATAATGCAGGAAAAGATATTAAAACACAACTTGATATCAGAATAGCTAAAGAATTCAGTATCTGTCGTGGGAAACATAGTCTGTACCTTTGCATTCTGCCGGCTAAGCTCTGGACAGCAATATTCATAAGTCCAACTGTCCGACTCGTGCAGAGGTGTCTATAACATCACTAACAACTTCGTGTTCGTTGTCTTCATCAGTTGTCGAGGTTCTACTACACCAAATC